CCCATTTTGCAAAAAGTGTGGTACTTAAGGGGAAAAGATTTCGTACATTTAAAACTAATAGTGTAGGTAATAACGTAAGTGTTAAACACGTTTCTTACCACTTTATATAATAGCATTAACTGTAAATAAAGCGACTAGTCAATTACGTGTAAAAAAATCCTTTGTATCTATAAATGTATGTAAATAATTATATGTACAGTGTATTGTTGTGCAATCTGTGGACAGTTAAATTATTATTGCTGTTTTCAAATATTGTAATAAAAATAAACTTATGCGTGTTTTTTTTCTGTGGTTTAGATGAACAGCCTCTTTTCTAGGACGGCAGGAACGGCAAGGTTTATTCCTAGGTTTATTGTCTGTGTGGACTGATCATGGAAATTTCCACAAGCGATTAACTATAGTACTAGTGACGCCACATTCCGTGACACATTAAATCAGAACAAAAAAAAATTATTAATAAAAAAACCTAGTTTGTCATTTTTAAATCAATCATTTTTATGTTTCTTATAAATTTTGGTTCGTAGAATCTAAAACGTCTCGAATTTTTTCAATTGGACCATTATATAAAAATGATGGGCAAAAAAAGTAATTTCTAAAAAAATTCCACTTGCTATATTTACCTAGTAGTAGGTAGCCCAATATTAATGTTTGCTATTTCATCAAAAATCGACCGTATTTTCATATAGATTTTATCCTGTCGAGTTCAAAACTGCCAGAATTTTTAAGATTGGTCTATTTTTTGCCCATAACTTTTGATGTAGTCGTCTAGTCTCAAAAATTCTGGACGTTTTGGATTAAAATATCTATAGATTGTGTATACCGAGCCTCAATATACCCAACCACGCAATCGAATCTCCGGCGTTAAACACAGGCTGATCCAAATGTCTCAACATCGACCTCCAAACCAGGCACCCTCTCGTGACCCATCCCTGACTAAGCGGCAGGTTCCTAGAGCTATCTCCAGTTAGATGACCAAATGGGTACGTTAAGAGAAAAAGAGACAGAGATCGGACGACTGATACCGACTCCAACCGCCGACAAAGAGAGGCAGACCATAGCCCCAACCAAAAATGGGTGCAAATATTTACAGTCCCCGGACCAAATTCAGACTTCGAGTTTAAAAACGTTGGATTTTGTGCGTTGGATAAAGAAATATTGTCTTTTACCTTATGAATGTGGTCTATACAGCTGGTGTTGTCGAACTCCATAAATAAGGTCGATGTTGAACCTTGGATTTTACCGTGCCCCGCAAATTGTCGTGGATGCACACGTACTGGTGCTTGGAATCGGGAACTTTCCGTCATAGATTTTTGTATCGATTGAAACTGCTCCTTTGCCAAAAGTAATAAAAAAAAACACCGGCGATTTAACTTTAATGAAGGGGCATCCTCCAAATCTCTTTTTCGGAATTTTCCACCCCAGTATAGTTGGGAAACGAAAATGATGCAATTTCTCCCTCGATTTTATCGACACAATTATTCGGCAGTAATACGAATTCAATCACTCGCTTTACTTCCCACTTTTTCTTGTTATATTATTACGGCCCTAAAATGACAGGTGCGTTTAATTTATTTCACACCGTACCTTACGCTTAACGTACTATTTCAATGCGAGTTCAACCCCGTCTGATCTCCGCTAATAAAGTCCGCGGTCGCTATCCGCCAGTTATCTCTTAGTCAGCATTGCACATTCCTTTACCGATTAGGACGTTAGAAAAAACGTATACACATCTAAATTTAAACTCACAGCAAATAAGACGTCTACAAAATTCAATATACATTATATACAGCTAATTACTAAATTTTATTCCTTCACGCCCAGGCCAAAAAGCATTATGTGTAATTGACAATGGGCGCGATGCGAATAACCCCCACAGCCGTCATTGAGGCTCTTCTGGGTCCGCCTCCACTAGATCTCCACATGAGAGAGCAAGCCATTCTGGCATCCTTGCATCTGAGAACTATAAGGGGATGTTTTGAATTCGGCCACTCTCGACTTCTGGGTAAGGCGATAAAGCTATCCTAGAAGGCGATCGAACTCACCCAACCCTCATCCATATTAGAGAAAAACTATCACATCTTTTTTGATGCGTAAGTGGCACCCCAATCAGACATACTCATCATACACGGATGGAACTAAAACAATGGGGGGCACTGGTATCTACTCCAAAGAACTGAACTTCCATATCACCCAATCGCTAGGCATAACACAAAGAACAAAACTATCAAAATCTTCAATGATAGCAAGGCTGCCGACAGGCACTTGGCCACTGTAAAATTGTCTGTAGACTGGTTTCCGAATGTCACTATGCCCTGGAACAAGTAGCAAACAGCAACACCTTCAAGCTCGAGGGTTAAAGGACGTGCTGGAACAATACGTAATAATAAGAAAGCTAACGAGTAGCCGGACTCGCCTCAAAACAAGTGTTTTATGGCCCAGACACGGCTCTTCCTTTTACGATTGCAACGGTAAACAAATTAATAACTCAAGACACCTAGACCCAGCATAGGGCAAGGTGGAACTCGATGTTAGATGGTTGCCATACAAGAGAAGCATTCAGAGGGCTCAAAGTCTGGCGCGTTATTGCACAGGGCTATCAAGGAAGAACCCAAGATTACTTGTGAGGATGTCGCCACGTACGCAACTTCTTTGTAAATTTCATTTGAATTTATGCGATTAACAGCAACGTCGCACTTATTATTCCTTAAAAGGCAGTTCAAAATGTACGGAGTCTTGCAAGATCTGTAGAGCAATTGTAGTTTAAAGGCCCGGTAAAGGCAGTGTATAACCTTCCTTTTTTACCAAAAATCGACTACACCAAAATTTCGTACTTTTTCGATTAGACGTCTCAATCAAAAGTTATGGGCAAAAAACCAATTTCGACAAAAAATTCAAAGGGCTGTAACTTTTGATCTAGTAGTCCGATCTTGGAACTGTTTGAAATTATGGATTCTACAGGCCACATTCTATAAGAAAATATTTTTTTCCGGTCGATCTGAGACAATTTTTTTTTCTGAGCCAAAAAAAGGCAGTGTATAACCTTCGTTTTTTACCAAAAATCGACTGCACCAAAATTTCTCGGGAAAAAACTTTTTCTTATTAATTTGGGTGCGTAGAATCCAAAACGATTCGTACTTTTTCGATTAGACGTCTCAATCAAAAGTTATGGGCAAAAAACCAATTTAAACAAAAAATTCAAAGGGCTGTAACTTCTGATCTAGTAGTCCGATCTTGGAACTGTGTGCGCCATCTCCATGGCAATCGATACACTTTCTATCAATTATAGTTTTAGAAGTCTAGTTGAGATGTCGCCACGTACGCAAATTCTTTGTAAATTTCATTTGAATTTATGCGATTAACAGCAACGTCGCACTTATTATTCTTTAAAAGGCGGTTCAAAATGTACGGAGTCTTGCAAGATCCTGTAGAGCAATTGTAGTTTAAAGGCCCGGTAGATAATTTAAATACAATAACTACTAGTGCGCCATCTCCATGGCAATCGATACACTTTCTATCAATTATAGTTTTAAAAGTCTAGTTGAGATGTCGCTACGTACGCAACTTCTTTGTAAATTTCATTTGAATTTATGCGATTAACAGCAACGTCACACTTATTCCTTAAAAGGCAGTTCAAAATGTACGGAGTCTTGCAAGATCTTGTAGAGCAATTGTAGTTTAAAGGCCCGGTTTTTGAATAGATCATTTAAATACAATAACTACTAGTGCGCCATCTCCATGGCAATCGATACACTTTCTATCAATTATAGTTTTAGAAGTCTAGTTGAGGTGTCGCCACGTACGCAACTTCTTTGTAAATTTCATTTGAATTTATGCGATTAACAGCAACGTCACACTTATTCCTTAAAAGGCAGTTCAAAATGTACGGAGTCTTGCAAGATCTGTAGAGCAATTGTAGTTTAAAGGCCCGGTAAAGGCAGTGTATAACCTTCCTTTTTTACCAAAAATCGACTACACCAAAATTTCGTACTTTTTCGATTAGACGTCTCAATCAAAAGTTATGGGCAAAAAACCAATTTCGACAAAAAATTCAAAGGGCTGTAACTTTTGATCTAGTAGTCCGATCTTGGAACTGTTTGAAATTATGGATTCTACAGGCCACATTCTTAAGAAAATATTTTTTTCCGGTCGATCTGAGACAATTTTTTTTTCAGCCCAAAAAAAAAGGCAGTTATTACCTTCCTTTTTTACCAAAAATCGACTGCACCAAAATTTCTCGGGAAAAAACTTTTTCTTATTAATTTGGGTGCGTAGAATCCAAAACGATTCGTACTTTTTCGATTAGACGTCTCAATCAAAAGATATGGGCAAAAAACCAATTTAAACAAAAAATTCAAAGGGCTGTAACTTCTGGTCTAGTAGTCCGATCTTGGAACTGTGTGCGCCATCTCCATGGCAATCGATACACTTTCTATCAATTATAGTTTTAGAAGTCTAGTTGAGATGTCGCCATGTACGCAACTTCTTTTAAAATTTCATTTGAATTTATGCGATTAACAGCAACGTCGCACTTATTATTCCTTAAATGGCAGTTCAAAATGTACGGAGTCTTGCAAGATCCTGTAGAGCAATTGTAGTTTAAAAGCCCGGTTTTTGAATAGATAATTTAAATACAATAACTACTAGTGCGCCATCTCCATGGCAATCGATACACTTTCTAACAATTATAGTTTTAGAAGTCTAGTTGAGATGTCGTGAGCACTATAAACTAAACCAGCACATGGACTACATGAGTTTGGTAGAATCATCATCTCGTAGAGGATGTTGCACAGACGACGAACAGAATTTTCTAAGTTGGACCACTGCATCATATGTGATAGATCTTTTAGTTTTTTGCCTATAACCTCCATTGGGGTTTGAAAATTTGTTCTCCGCCACCGAGTTTATTGGGACAATAGACACGGTATATGTACGGCCAATCAGGAAGTGCTGTATGATTTGACTGAATGGAAGTGGCTACATTACTGACGTAGATTGTTTAGTTTTTATGCCTCAAAAAAATTATTATTTGTGTTCGCAAAATTTATTTAAAAAAAAGTGATTTATGAAGTTACATTTTAATTAAGGAGGATTCCAGTCACTTTGCTTTACTTTAATAATATCTATTTCTTTAAAGCAAAGTGTCTGAAACCATGAATACTTTTCAGACATGCTCCAACACATCAGATGCAGTCCCACTCTATCTATCCCAACAGTTATATCTAAAACCGATTGCACGTTTAAACATTTCTGTGCAATTACCTCAAAAAAAGATGGGCAAAAGTATATCGAATTGGGAGGTAATGGAACAACTACGTTACATGATCAAACCTGAAACCTTTACACTCTTGAAAGTGACAAATACAAATTTAGAATTCATTCGATTTGAAGCAGAGGTCGAACATAAGTCTAAACTGCAACCGATAGTAGAGAAAATAAATAAGAGAACAATTAAATTGAAAGAATTTCCGGAATTGTTAAAAATTCGATCTAGTGAGGCGAAAGTTCATTTTCCGTCGAGACATGATTGGGATTCTTTTTTTCGCGAAGCCAAAAACATGAACGAAATGAAACCTGGAGAACGGCCTGATACGCTTCACATTTCAAACCTGCCCATTAAGTGGTTCGTTCCCTACCATTTAAGCGGCGAGGAAGATGCCAAACCATCCGAGAGAATGTTGTATGCGATCTTTGAAAAATTCGGCACAATACGGTGTGTTGATATTCCCATATGTGATCCGTATCGTAACAAAATGAAGGCCGAGGTGTCCGGTTTACAGACCTTCACCTTTGATGAAGCGCACTACTTCGAGGGCTACGTGCAATTTAAAGATTACATCGGTTTTACAAAGGCAATGGACGCGTTACGTGGAATGAAACTTTTGCACAAGGAAGCCGATGATGATGCATTTGCTGTGAATATAGTGGTCGATTACGACCGTACCAAGCACTTAAGCGAGGCGTCGATACGTAGAAGGGAGATTGTGCGAGACCGTCTAGTTAGAAAGGATATTTACAAAGAGGAAAAATTGCGTATCAATTTAGAAGAGGAGGAAAAGACTAGGGAGGCTGAAAGGTTAAACCAATATTAAATTTTCTCAGTTTTGGTTCTCTCAAAGTTTAGGTGGTTGTAGTGTTAGGTGTACTGATTTTCAGGCAGAAGAAATTGGATGAAAAGGCTGCGAAGCAACGGAGGCGTCAGGAACGGGAAGAAAGAAGGAAGGTGCGAATAATGGCAAAGCTAAAGGTAGATGGTGGAGATCAGATCAACGCGAAGATTGCGAAGGAGAAGAAGAAACTATTGAAAGTACAAAGAAAACTTGAAGCAATTCGTCTTGTGGAAGAATTGTTTCGACGCATTAAGGTTTGTATTGTTAATTGATGGGGGATTAAGTACAAAAAAATGGTGGTGAATGTAGTAGCTCATTTTTTGTCTCTTTTAGATTAAGCACGAAAAGACTGCAACTGTGAAAAATTTACTTAAGAACAACAAAGACGAGGTAATTCAATTATTTTGCATGATCTAATCTTCTAACTGTTTATTCTTAGCTTACACGATTGAAAACTGCAACTGAACTGGAGGTTAATCAACGAAAAGAAAAACTCAATTACGCCATACATGGTCGTGTAGTGCTGAAAAGCATCTTGGGGGGTGCAACTGATGACTTCAAAGATGACAGTTCTCACTCAGATTCTTCTATTTCCAAAAGATGGAGTAATCAAGCATGTAATTATTTTAATTTAATCTTCCTGTAGTGTCCTGAATTTTTTGTTCCATAGCAAAAGATGTCGGTCTTCCACATCCCGCTGCAGTGCCTGGAACAAGTGACTGGTATGGTTACACTCCTGTGGGAAACAATCTATATCCATTGCCAATAACTCCAATGTACTCAAATACAGGAATCAATAACTCTTATTATCTTCCATACGTTCCTCGTGGACGTGGGCTTGGAATTTACCCAAGGCGAGGGCGCGCCCGATTTAGGGGAGGTAACCGAGGCAGAAATAGTTACCCGCCGGATCTCCAACAACAGTATTATCGATACTTCGAAAAATTCCTACACGAACATGACGACCGAGTACGCCGTTCTCAAAGTAGATCTCGATCTAGATCACGCTCACGGCGATCAAGGTAAGCTAATATTACAGTGACTTTATAGAGACAGTGGAGACAACAGGATATTTCGTTTTTGATTGGTCGTTGGTTCCGGTCGCCATGTTGGAACTAAATTTCAAACTGGCCAATAGAAAGCCACCAAAATGACGCGGTACACTCCGTGCTATAATTATTAATTATACTGTTTTGACAGTAAGTTGTCGCCACTGCCTTCATAAAGTCACTGTAGAATATGTCACACGTGAACAGCTATAACCAACATTTTAGATCTAGATCCCGAGGTAGAAGACCGCGCAGATCCAGATCACGAAGTCGATCTTCTAGCAGATCGCGGCGGCATAGATCGAGTTCTTCATCCCACTATGAAAGAACACCGCCCGCTAGGAAACGGTCCCGCCAGCGCAGCCGATCGGAACGGTCGAGTACAAAGAGAAAAGAAAGATCCAAATCCTCAAGCTATCGATCGATAGATAGTTCCAAATTTATTTCCCCAAGTAGATTAAGGTTGCCACATTCAAGGTCACGATCTCGATCATAAATAGACGTACCTTTTTTTTTCAAATTATTTTATAATAAAATGTTTTTTCGAAGAAATTTATTGTTAAATTCTGTTATTGAAAGTGGAAATAGATATCTTTAGTTTGAACACAATAAACAAACACATACTTCACTGTGTCATTTTTAATGAAGTAATATTTGAGCAGTTATGCTAAAGAACCTGTGGAATTGTTACTGGCATGAATGGTCTATTTTTCATAATGGGCACACATTTACGGCGTTTCATTTGTTTGTTCTAATTAATGTAATGGTAACGTCTTCTGCTGCTTCTTAAGTAATATACTACTACTGTGGATTTTTGGGCGTATTTCTCGTGAGAAATACCTGCGTGAATTCCGACCTATCATCCGCGTTTTCGCATCAAATGCCATTTTTTATTGGTCTACCGTTGAGTTAATTTGCTTGATCGTCGTTATAAACGGCGTTTCAATATTCTAAAAGATGAAAAATCGAAAAGAAATTTGACTCGGCTGCGGCTCAAAGAACCAATATCTTGAAGCGCTCATGTTCAAAGTGTATAAGGTGTAATGTGCTTACCTCTAGCTGGGCATTCTCAATGTAATAAACAGGCATTGTAAAGAAACATTACGATTATTTTAATTACCGGAATTCAGGGTTTCAATATTCTTTAGTTAAAATATATACCACTTATTGCTTTGGAAATAGAATTTCAGAATTTTATAGTTCAATCCGATCCGTTCGTAATTGGTTCGTGAAATTTAATCGCCCTGTATTATGAAAAATTTTTAAGTTGGTCAACCTGCTAATCGAATTTTACACCAATCCATTCCGTTCGTTCGTTCTGCGCTGCGCCGCAGTCGTATTGATGGCGTTTTTACTGATAAGTGCGGTTGTCATTTATCTGCCATAAATTAACAAAATAGTTAAATTATCAGTAACGTATTAGCAATTAACCTATAGAATAATGGCTGAAGCGGCGGTAGAAGATAGACCTCATCAAAAATTCTATTGCCATATATGCAATGTGCAGTTTGAAAATGCCTCAGCTGTAGGTGTTCTCTCCTCACTAGTACCTCTCCATCAACAAAATGTTTTTTCTAGAACTTTACTTGCCCTCATTGCTTTGGAGGTTTTATAGAAGAATTGGAAGCTCCAGCTGAAAATGTAACGGATGTGGTGGACGTCGATATGGTTAGCGACGACGATGACGAACCTTATAATGTAAGTAACCGAATGTTAAAACAATTACGATGTTTTGTATTTTAGATGTTAAATTATCGAATGGATTTTACCGACTTATTTTTAACGCCCGGCCCACCTGAAATGAGAAGAAGTGGTCGTCAGAGATACCAAGATCCTTCTAGGAGGAGAAGGTACGCAACAAGTGTAGATCCTCGTCACCGAATTGTTAGACCAAGGTTGGAAGTGATTTGCTCAAATATTTTATTTTAATTGCTCCTTTACCAACGTGGTGGTAGTCGCATATTAATGAAACATGATTTTTAGAACTTTAACACGACTGGCATCTAATATGAGACATCAGACTCCGTTTGAGAATCTTATTCAGGAGGTCATATTAAACTTGGGTGTAGATTGGGCCGGTGGCGGCACTATGCAGTTCATTTTAGGAAACCCGGGGGATTACGCTTGGGGACGCGAAGGACTTGATGCCATTGTAACTCAATTACTTAATCAAATGGACGGAACAGGTCTGATTTCAATTGTTACAAATGTTTCCGCTAACAATGATATATTAGGTCCTCCACCATTATCAAAAGATGTGATTGACGCGTTACCGATTGTGGAAGTTTCTGATGAACAAGTCGATACAAAATTACAGTGCTCAGTATGTTGGGAAGATTTTGTTTTGAAGGAATCAGTAAGGCAGTTACCATGTCTACATATATACCACGAACCGTGCATTCGTCCCTGGCTAGAATTGCACGGAACGTGTCCGATTTGTAGACAGAATCTTTCAACTGGTGATAATGCGAGTGACGGAAATCAAGCGTCGGGTAACTCAGGATCGGGCAGTAAGTGTGATGATTTGTTAAATTGTGTTTTCTAATAACGATTGTAGGGACTACGTACGATGCTCTGGAACAGCTACTGTGGAACCCAGGCCATCGATCGAATAGTCCATCTAGTTCCACCGCTACTCGAGGCTCAGACAGTCCCACTTCTAGCAATTCAAGTTCCAGTAATAGAGATCCAAGAATGTAAAATAAATGTATTAGATTTGTTTAGTTCGCTTCACTTTTCACACATAAAAAGAAGCCGAAATTTTCCTTATTTATTTTAACGTATCCATTACGAAAAGTATGCAACGTTATTTGGCATAGTTTTAGTAATTTTGCCTAGACTGAGTTTCGTTGTATATTCAGAAGAATGGGCCACGGTTCTTTTAATCTTAAGTTGTGTAATGCATTGGTTTCTTTGATTTGTATATTATGTGTTGTACCTACATCTCACTTAAACTGTTTACTGAAATTAAGGCATATTTATAATACATACTGATTTGCAAATTGCTATCAATAAAATGTTTATAGTTAAATGTTGTTACCTTTTAGTTTGCAGCTTTTCTAACTGTCCACATTTCCAATAAATTATTCCGTTTAATAGTTTTTGCTAGTTTTTTTTTCTGCCTGCATGTTTAAGAGGCACCAGTATTTGTTGATACTGAGTAGCTATTCCCCAATCGCAACGTTAGAAGTATTAAGCCTCCCAAACAAGACAATTGTAGTTTTTGATGATTACTACATGTGATATGTTTTTCTTTACTAGATGCATCTATGGTTAAAATTCATAAACAAGGAAGTTGGCACTGACTGCGCATGCGCACATTTAATGTTTGCAATATCAGATATGTTTGCCTTTAACAGAAGCATCTGAAAATTTCAAAAAGATATCTCGACAAATAATACAGTTGATATTGTGCATGGGTACATTAACCTCGAGATTAATCTGATGTTTACAATATGCGATACGTTTGTTTTTACTAATAAAATTTCAAAGAAATATCTCCATAAATAAGAAAGTTGGAATTGCGCATGCGCAGTTTAAGCATCAAGATTTTTCTTGGCTCAGGTGCCAGAGTTATACACTACCGAATGCAAAAAGAACGAACTAAATATCCTGAAAACTGTAGTGGTTAAGGCCTTGGACAGACGGACGGGCAGAGAAAGTGGCTGCAATAGCGCACCAAACTTCGTTGGAAAATGCGCTAAAGAGCGTTAAGAGGACTTGTTAGTGGTCAATTATAAATGGCCCCTCCTCAATAATCTCAAACCCATGATACTTAAGAGGAGAAGTAAGTATAGCAAGCGCGGATTAATAAGCTAGCAATGGGAGGTAATTCCCCTTCCCACATAAGATGGAGCATAAGTAGATAGAAACCAATTGAATAACCCAAGGGCCCAATATCTCTCCAAATAGAAAAAAAAGGCATCACAGCTCGAGTTCAGATTTTATCCATTTCTCACTAGGTACATCCCGTTTAAAAACCTGCCAACACGAAACAAATGATCCCACGTCCTTGATATTTTACGTAAGAAACATTTGGAACTATTTTTATTTTTTGGAAAAATGTTTGTTTTAGCTAGTGGGAGCAGTCGTTATAGCGGTTGTAATCTCTAAGGAGTTAATTTCAAAAATTTCACATTTCAAGAGAGTAGATATAGGTACCTTATTACCAGGTTTTAGATCGTAGGCTGGGCAAATTACAATAAAATGTTAATTATTTGAATAATTGTTTTTTTTTATTACATACAATTGGACGTGAATTTTGTAATTTAAATAAAGAACTTGCACCGTGCAAAAAAACGCTCGCGAAGATTTGGAAAGGGCCTAGCGTTTTGGAAGTTAGTTTTAAGTCTTATCACTAAACTATTTCAGCAAATTACTACTAGAGAGAGTGCTCTCCAAAGCGATCGAGAGTTATGCAGCGCGATTAAATGCTAGTCGCCTGAGCAAGTCGCATTTGCGGGAATTTTATCGCATTCTCCCCTCTCTTTGGGCCCTTTTTCTGGGCTAAGGAGATCTGAGTAAAGAAAATGCCGCGAAGGACTTAGAGTGCCCTGGCCCAAAACTTTGAAGGTGCTACAAATGTATTGACGGTGGTTTATAAAGGTCAAAAACGAGATTAAAAGGTTTGAGAAGGCGATGAGATCACGCATTGGATTTTGGAAGGCGATTTTCAGAATTTTCTAAACATTTCCAAACATTTTAAGTGAATTCCATAAGTTTGAGTTTAGCCTGACCTGGAGGTCTTAGAAAACAGGTAAAAAGGAGAGCGTAAAATTTCCTAAACTGTATAAAAAGTGTGCATGGTTCAATTCAACATAAAAGGTGCTCCAAGGAAAATTTTGCCAAAATCAGTTACCTTTAATAAGCAGAAAGATATGGGGCATTAAAGAAATCGAATAAATTCGAGAAGCGATTAAAGACAGCTGAATTCTGTTTGCGTCAGTGATTTTCTCTTTAAAATTGAGCTTCAGACACCTAGGTCCATTTTTTCTATCTCTTAAAATACAGGGTGTTTCCATAAGAATCCACTGTGTCCAATTTGGATCACTCTGTACACTGTAGAATAGAGCAGAACAGTGTGACGATGCATATCTGCGGTGAGACATTAAGAAAAAGAGCCCTAAATTAATTTTCGGCTGGGCAGTGGGGCCATTGTATAGTGTTATGTACCTAACTGATTTTAATACCTATAGTACTCAATTTTTGGTACATACTTAAACAGCGAGTTTTTCTCAAAATAATTATACCTAATAAGGCATTATTATATTATAGTTACAAAAATTAATACAGCATTGATTATTATCACAGTGTAAATACAGATAATATGTTGTTGCGTAATAAACTACTCCATGCGGACATTTTATTTGACTTCGGCACCTGCAATAACGATATGACATCCTGTATTTGCATTTCAAATATTTTTAACTTCGAAAGTTCGTCGTAATTTGGGATTGGACGCAAATCCGATCATATTAGTTGAATTCGAGGGCTATGTTTTGTATCAGAATTAATGTTTGATTAATTGTAAATTTTAATTACGTCTTAAGACTAGATTTAAATACTCGAAATATTTACGTGGTAATTGTAAAATCTTATCTCCGGTCGTAGATAAGACGTTTTGTTATCGCGACGTAAGGTCATTATATAGTTTCAAGAGAAAACACAGGTGCATTTTATCGTTCAACGACGCATTCATTTGTTAAGGAAGTGGAGGCGGAAGTGGCAAAAAAAAGAAAATTATTTTAAATAACAGAGGAAGATGCTAATTGTTGCTCTTTTAGTGGTGGACGTAAATTTTGTTTTGGGATATTGCCGAGGAGGGTTTCGCGTTTACGAAGAAGATCGAGCGTGTGTCCCTGAAGAGAAAACTTTCTTTAATGTCTTCAAGTTACCAGTAAAAGGGAGAATATAAATGTGGAAAATAATATTGAGTTAAACATTGATATTGATACAGTCGCTTGGTAACGAATAGCATAGAATGGTTAAACAACAACATTAATTATTCATTAAAGTCGACTTCAGTTAAAAGACTTTTGCGCTGGCCCTTACCCAAGTAAAATTTAAATGTTTTAAAGTAGGTACATTAAAAACGAAACTATAGTAACACAATCCACACTGCAGAAGCATCAGATGATTGCCAAATACCAGTAAAAATGCTTTAAACATGTGGCGAAAAATCGTACCAGGTTAAGACCCTAGGTGGACAAAACGTAGGTACCGCGTTTCCAATCAGAACGGCGGATTTTTGCCGTATGGTTAACACGTGGTACGTTCTAAATGCCACCCGGTACATATCGTAGTTAAAGAACATAAATAATGTATTAAGTATAGCTACCTACACTTAGCTACGAATGAAATAAAATTCCATTGCGTACTTGAATTTGGTAACAGCCAATTTTAAACAAGTTTATTAGCATAATGCTTGAGAAAATCCAAATATATTATCATATCTAAAGAACAATAATAATTGATAATCTTATGCCTGCTTTTAGCTTCAAGTGGAAGTCCATTACATAGTTCAATTTGGTAACATTAAAAATCAATACGGTATTAAGCTAAGCCAATTTTAAATTCCAATCAAGTTTGCTAGGTTTCCTTGTGATTGTGTTACCTACACTCATGTATCTACATGTGTAGACGATATGAATAATTTATCCAAAAGTAAGTACAAACACAATAAATATTTCTTTTTCTTTTACATGTGGAATAACCTAAATGTTTCATTGATTTACATTTTAAATTGTATGTAAGTGTGAATATCAACACTTAAGCAGTAGATATACATGGTGTTCATTTTTCGAGTGCCACTATGGGGATCTCACTTCTCTTAAGAGATAGAAAGTTGGTTAAATGGGGGCAAAGTTGCCAATTTTCGTGCTGAATAAGAATCTGAAAAGACATTTCAAATATCTTCAATCGTTTTGAAGATACCTATCTCAAAAAAATTTCTGATTTTCGTTTTTATTTTTTTTATGATAAACTAATCGTAGTAGACATTTTCCATCTTTCTCTTTACAAGGATATATCACACATGGTGGTGCAGTATCACATTTTTCCTAAAAATACAATTTTTAATTTTTTGAGAAGAGTGCTTTGGAAAAACAAAACGTTCTTTTGTTGTGAACAAAAGGTTGACTTATTTCATGTAGTGTCATTGCGAAAATGCCTTTTTCAAGTGCAGATCAAAGAGATATGATCCAAATTTACTACACTTCTCATCGAAATGCCCACATGACTGCTGCAACAACTTGCAGCGTTATCCAGAGGGGCAACAACCTAGTTTGAGGTATTTTTCTTTGCTACATAAAAACTTGGGCGAATATGGTTCTTTTAAAAGATGTAGACAGCAATATGGTGATAGGCCCAATTAATATGAGCAGGCAATTTTGCAAGCGGTTGAGATGAAAATCGAATTTCTACTTCTCTGACAACGCTGCAACCAGACAGATGGATCAAACTGTCAAACTTTTGTTGACAACGAAAGAACGTTTTGTTTTTCCAAAGCACTCTTCTCAAAAAATTAAAAATTGTATTTTTAGGAAAAATGTGATACTGAACCACTATGTGTGATATATCGTTGTAAAGAGAAAAAAAGACGTAATCCCAAAATGTCAAAATTCAATATGGCGCCCATAAGAAAAACTAAAGTTGCCACGTGTTTCTCCGTCATCTTGAACGTAATTAAAAACAGGATGCCATATTTGAAATCTCCATTAAAAAGTGTCCGAATAATGTGCTAATTAGAAATGTCTACTACGACTAGTTTATCATAAAAAAATTAAAAACGAAAATCAGAAATTTTCGTTTTTTTTTGTGATATCTTCAAAAGTATTGATGATATTTCAAATTTCTTTTCAGATTCTTATTCAGCACGGAAATTTGCAACTTTACCCCCATTTAACCGACTTTCTATCTCTTAAGATAAGTGAGATCCCCATAGTGGCACTCGAAAAATGGACACCGTGTATAAACAAAACTGTGTATGTGAAGCACACATGTTTTGCTTGTGAAAGATTTCATTTTCTAGGACGTAATGGATTAAAATTCCAATTTTTTTAAAATTCAATTTAAATATGCTCTATCAATATAAGTTTCACATTTCATCAAAATCAGAACAAAACTAAAAAAGTCAAACAGTTTGGACCACTGTGTATATATTCAAGTCATTACTTCATTTGAAAGGATTATGATTTAAACAGCTGCCAACTCTCTTCTATAAATATGAATTTGTCATGGGCAGGTATAAACGCTAATCGTTTGTTTGTTTCAATACCCAATGAACCAATTATGCAATATTCGAACACTGCAATTTCAATTATTTGAAAAACGTGCAGAATCTGAATCTTTTGAAAAATTTAAATTTTTATTGAATTTGATACAGGATGTCCCTCGACGAATGCCGTCTATATCTTGAATAAGAAACGGAATGTTTTGAGAATTGCACAGTATACTAATGTCCAATAATAGAAATTCATCTAAAATATTTTTTTAGTTCATGGAAATTCAGGTTATACCGGAAGTTATCAGCTGGCTTATTTTAAAGCGGATGCCCTATATATGATTTCATTTTTAGATTATAAGTTATATTCTATATGCCTTTTATGTTCTATACCTAAATTTAACATGGTTTGAAATATTTTAATTTTTATGTCCAAAATAACATTTGCCAAAATCATTTAAAATATGCAAATTGGCATCAACTTCTGGTATAACCAAAAGTGCCCCCAACTTGTCAATAGTTTAATCTCCCATTATCGGCATTAAGTAGGTATATAGGTACCTAAAATGTGTCCAGTGTCCAGTGATTGTTTGGTGGTCTCTTATAAAAGACAAAAAAGTGCCATTGCATTATATTTTAAATATTTTTTTAGGTACCATTTTTTGGATTTCCACAAAAATTCAGTTAAAAACCAAAAAAGTCAAAAAATCAAAGTAGGCTTTTTAAATTTTGCATGTATAATCAGTTTTTCATTCTGAACAACTTTTCTTAATAACATTTGTGCGTATATCATCCCCAAAGAGCTCTTTACTGGTATGCAAAAAACGTTTTTGGAAAATTTCAAAGGCACCCTTGATTTTTTGAAACTAAAATTATGTCACAAATTACAGTCTAACCAAACAGGCTGGTCCCAAGACCAAACTATCGGGGAGCATAATGTATATTGTGAAATTTTCAAAATATTCCAAGGTCTCCTTCTCCAGATAGATACCCGATATTCGACTTGGGACACCCTGCGTGCGGGTCAACTTTTAGGGGCACGTAACGCATGCACGCGCTTTCCTTATAGCTTTGGGAACAGACTAAACTCTCTCTATTTTCCAGAATATTTAATACCCATTACAATCGCACTTTCCTCTTTGTCAGTGTACTACTTATGGAAGTCCACTGATGTATCATGCATTTCCTACCCGAATGCTTCGTACACTTACATTATTGGTAAGAACATTTTTCACTTGTGCATTTTTACTGGGACGTTCTAATACAGTAGGTGGGGGAACTGCAGGATGCGTTTTGGCATCACGTCTATCAGAAAACCCGCACAACAGAGTCCTCCTCATAGAAGCAGGCGGGCACATTAACAACTTTTACAGCAGCATCCCCAGTTTGTTCGTTTTTTTGCAAAAATCCAAAGACGACTGGTCGTACGATTCGACCTCGCAAAAATGGTCGTCGTTTGGATTCAAACAGAAGGTAAGAAAGCTCGAATTGAATTTATTCAAAGCGATGTAGTTTAGAAGCAAGCGTTGGCAAGAGGTAAAGGACTGGGAGGCTCTGGAGAGATAAATTGCGTAATTTACAACGGAATTCATAGAGATACTTTGAATAATAATTTCAGCAATTTTATCCGAGGTTGCGGCCCGGAAACTTGTCATTATTTAGACAAATTGATTCCACCTCAACACTGTACAACCACGCGCAAGCCTCACTTTCCTTTGTATCTAAAACGTAGCAGTCCCAAACTTGGGGAGGTAGCAAAGCAAGCAGTTGAAGAGCTGGGTGACCCATCCATTAGATACCACGAAGCTTTAAGTACTATTTTTAAAGGGGAGCGTTGGTCGACGTATCGCAGCCATTTGATACCGGCTATCGGTCGTCCTAATCTTCACATACTGTGCAACGTTGAAGTGGTTAAGGTATAGCTCTCCGATTTGTAGTTCGCAACTCGAAGAGAGAGTTTACAGATTATCTTTGAAAACCGAAAGGCAATTGGCTTGCAATATTTAGACGGAACCATCTACAGTGAAAAGGAGATCATTATCTCAGCGGGCAGCATAAACACCCCCAAGTTGTTGTTGGCTTCCGGTGTTGGGAATAAAACAGAACTCGACAAGCTGGGCATATCAACGATAGCAAATTTACCAGGAGTTGGTTTAAACTTGCATGATCACTTTTCGATGCCGATATATGTTCACATTCAAGCACCGCTTTCAGTGACGATGCTTAAAATGTTAAATTTGAAAGAGATTTTTAATTATCTGGTGTACAGAGAAGGTCTATACGCATCATCTCCGGTGATGGCTATCGTTAAATCACGCAGAAGTTATAATATAATGTTTGCGGGTAGTACACCGGAAGAACCCTTTTTGTCGGTTTCGAATTATTTACCCCAGGTAGTGTGTACTGTACATAACAAAAAAATTCCTTTCTAGACTTTTAGAACACTTCTGCCATTTTCGAATAGTTTCTCAAAGGAAGGTATGATCCTTTTGGCAGGTTGTCGGAAACCGAAAAGTCGCGGCTTTGTTAAACTGGACGTTAATAAAGAGGTGGTCGTAGATCCGCAATACTTACAACACGAGGACGATGTTCGTTGTATACAAGAGGGTGGGTATCAAACGCAAATGTATTTGCATAAATTGCACATTTCAGCTGTGGTACTGGCTTCCAAAATTGTGAACTCGACCGCATTCCAGAACATCGGGGCTTCGATACATTTGCCAGAAATTGAAAATTGTAACTACACCAGAAGCTTCGAGAATGAAAAGTATTTGGAATGCATTATTCGTACAAGTGCAATAACAAGCTATCACCAAGCGGGTACATGCGCGATGGGAAAACACGCACTCGCCGTTGTTGATGATTATTTTAGGTAGAATATTTACAGGTCTGCATGCATTAATAACATCAATTTTGTTTAGGGTGCACAACCTTAAAGGTTTGAGGGTAGTTGATGGAAGTGTTATACCAAAACCGTTAAATAATTTCCCTAATACCGCCGTAGCTGTAATTGCGGAGTATGCAGCTACACTACTTACATAATTAGTTAGTAGATCATTTTACAAATATACCTACGTTAATAAATACAATTAGTCTACTTGATGATTGTCTCGTTTTCCTATGGTTGTTCAGTTACACCTTCTTCAATCTCTTCATGAGCTAGAAAAACAGAAACAATTGGTAATTACAAGTGAAGTTCGGTGATTTGTTTTCTGTGATCATTGCCAAACAATACTGTTTCACTGTATCTCAGTTCAAATTACATTTTTAGCGCATTTCCACAAAAATAAAAAAAAATGCGCTATTGTGGCCACTTTGTCCGTCCGTCCGTACGTCCGTCCGTCCGCTCGTTTTGCGACGCTACTAGTTCTTTATCTTAAGAGCTATTGTTCTACTTTTTTCGCTATTTGGTTCGTTATGGTGTCGAGTCTTGTACCAAGAAAGGAATTTTTTCTGTACCGCTTACAAAAAAAGTTATTGTAAAAAAAAACAAAAAACCGTTTTTTACATGTTCCATAATTTTACACTTTTGCCGTTTATTAACGATCCTAGAGATCGTTTATAATTTTGCATCGCTATCTGTCGTCTGCCTGTTGGTCTGTCCGTCTGTTCCTTTGTCTGTCTGTCCATCTATCTGTCCGTGTGAACGATATCTTTGTTTAGAGATGTTCGATCACTTTTACATCTCCGTTAGTTATGAACTGAATAGCATTAAATTCAATATGGGCATAGCTTTAGCCATATAATACGCAATGCCAAAAGTTGAATCGAATCGATTCAAAATTCACAGTGCCCTTTTCGCATCTCGACCATTTATAAACCGAATTGCAAAATGTTTTATTTATAAAAGCATTTGAATGAAATTTGATACATAGGCACTTGGAATAAAGGAAAATCAACTGCCAATTTCAAAATTTGGTTTTGCGCATGCGCAGTGCCAACTTTTTTATTTGTGGAAGAATTTAAACGAAATTTGATACATAGGCACTTGGAATAAAGGAAAATCTAGCGCCAGTTTCAAAATTTTATTTTGCGCATGCGCAGTGCCAACTTTTTTATCTATGGAAGCATTTAAGTGAAATTTGATATTTAGGCGCTTGGAACAAAGGAAAATCTAACATTAGTTTCAAAATTTAGGTTTGCGCATGCGCAGTTCCAACTTTCTTATTTAGAAAAGCATTGAAATGAAATTCTTCTCATAAACTGACATTGAAGTAGCACGACAAAAATGGATTGCCCATGTGCAACGCTATCTTTCATATTTGTGGCCGGATTTTTACGATTTTATAGAAGTTGCATCTTACAAATGGGAAATGAATGCAAGTGGAAATGCGCTTTATGTAAATCGTTTACGATTACTTTTTAACTTGTTTATAATTTCTGCTACCAAGTCAAGATGTTTTTTGTTGTGTATTGTGAAGTTTTCAATTATGGGGAGGAGGAGGGGGGGAATATGAACTATGCGGTGAATATTTAGTTTGGTATATAGGAGACCAAAAAATAAGTTGACTCCAAATAAATCCAGGGCCCAAAATGTTTTGGTTGGAATTTATGCAAAATGATCACCTGCAATAAAGACTTCCTAGCTCAAACCAAAAATAGCGCTTTTAGAAGAGTGTCTTCAAAAAATAGTAAGCGTAGGGAAAAGGTATTGGTTTCTATTTGAAGAAATTAGTTGCTCTACATACTTGACTCTTAAGGGATAGTTATATGAAAATGCGCTTAGCATCTTTAAATGGGCCATCCATCTGAAGAAGATTTTATATATTAGCCAGGAGAGAATGCCGGTCACAGAAAACTTGATGCAGGTCTACACTGCGCGTTTAATGATAAGCGCGGATACTGCAGGTGAGAGAGAAGCGAATACTAAGAGGGCAAGCTGTCTCTTACAGTTACGCATCTGATTGGTTCTTTAAATTTAATTTGAATGCGATGGTAATCGCTTCTGTTGAAAGAACATATAAAACATATAAAATCGGATAACAGATGACTTTATAAACGATCTAGAAAATTGTTAATAATTAACCAAACTAATGGCCAATTGCACCGTCAAATTAAGTATCGCTTAAAGTTAAGCATAACTTAAATGTCATAGCAACAATTGTCTTAATCGTTGCCATAGAGTTTAAGTACGACTTAACTTTAAGCAAGGCTTAATTTTGATGGTGCAACTGGGCATAAGTGGTGATGTTTGTGTAAACTAAATTTTGATGTATCACTTATTATATAGGAAATTTCACGCTCTTTTGAAAAACTCCAAAATATATAGGGTGGCCCGTATGAAAAAAATCTGGTTTAGGGTCGTATAGCAAAAACCAAACACGCTGTATAAAAACTATGTATTGAGATGGAATCTACATAAAAAAGTTCCCTAAGAAAGATTTTGCCAAAATCACTTATCTTTAATAATAAGAAAGTTATGACGCATTAAAGAAACCGACTAAATTCAAGAAACGCCCCCTACGGGCCAAACGATTGGAGATTGAATTCTGTTTGTGCCAGTGATTTTCATTTTAAAACTGAACTCGTGACACCTAGGACCATTTTCTTACTTTCTTAAAATAAAGGATGTGCCCATAAGTAAGTGTCCAATTTGCACCACTCTGTACATTCAAAAATAATGTCTATGCATGCGCAACCATTTGCACCAAAGGTTTTTTTAAAATATTTCTTACAAGGTATGAGCTAGGAAAGACCGACGCACTGTTGCAGGACCCTGTGTATAAAAAAGAAATCAAACAAAACAAAACTGCAGTATCTTTAAACCACCTTGATCTTTGGGAACAAAAGTTGGGTTTTGACTAAAAACACAGAAAGAAGACTGCAGGCGGTTGAAATGAAATGATTGAGAGGGGTAGCACAAAAATACCCCAAAGGAAAACCAAGAAACAGCTGGGAAGGTGCGGGGGAGGACGTTTTAAGAGTGCGCGGGTCAAATTGAAAAAAAAAAGGGAAAAAATTGTATAAGAACAGTATAATGAAATGTATTATACCTTAACGCTGTATGGTACCTATCTAAAGTAGATTAAGCAGTGGCGTATCTAAGGTGGGGCAGACAGGGCTGGGACACGTGCCCTGGGCGCCAACGCAGAGGGGCGCCAAACTCGAGAGGGCGGAAAAGACGAGAGAGCCTGCGGTTGAGTGTTGGCACTCTTGCAAAAAGATTCCGAAAAATTCAAAACAACTCAAAATTACGGCTGATAGTTCGAAATAATCTTATTCTCTGATAACCAACCTGATGCAAAATTTATGCAAATTTTATAACAAATTTTGCTAAAATTTGCCTAAAACTGCGTAAATCTAAGACTGTTTCAAACATAAATAGAATACATTTTAATTACTCATAGTGTTTAATACATCAATCCGAAGTCTTTCGCATTTTTCCAGTGCCATAAATTTATAGTTATAACTTACACAGGTTCTTATAATAAAAATATTGAAAAAATAAACGTTTATTTTGATAGTTGATTTGTTTTGTTCTTTGGTTTCTTTAAATGAATTTCTACTTTAAAATCATGTATTTTACAGTAGAACCTAAGTATATTTCGCTTGTTAAAAATGATAAAATCTGGATGATAGATGGTGAATGAGGGAGGGGGGGGGGGCACAATTTCGACACTTGCCCTAGGCGCCATTTAGCTCCGGTACGCCACTGAGATTAAGTTAACTTTCCCAGACAAAGAAGGGGTGATCAAAACTTCACGGGTCAAAACCAAGATCAAAACTCCACAGTCCAGCATTGATTATTTAGCATATTCTTGCGGTTATTATTACCTTATCGATTGTCTTTTTACGACTTAGATATGTTATCGAAAGTATCCCAAACAACTTCCTGATTTGATAGAATGCAATATGTTAGTGTAGAAACATAGCACATTCTTTAAGCAGTGATATATCAAAATTGTTCCGTTTTTTTCCCTTGCATTTAAAAATTAAAGCTGCTCCTGAACTATGTACTATCATCAAAAGTTAGAAATGGATACATTGACTCCATGTGAACATTATTCCGTTAAATTAAGAACTAGTGAATGGAAGATGACCTAATAAGATCTATTTTTAATTTATTATTGTTTATTAAATAAATATATTACGAGCGAGCGCAGCAGGTTTATGCAACAAATGGGTCTCATTTGTTTATTGATGGCCAACACTAGATAATACTCAGTGATGTTCCAATTAAATTGTTAACCAAACATTACGGCACACTAACCTAAGGCTGACCTTTTGAATTTTTATTATCTCAAAATGTTCCAAAACAATGATTTTTATGATGGGTTATTACTAGAGACCGGATTTCATGCTTTTATGCATTACGTAAATATTGGATACAGCTCAAAATAAAGCAATAATTTATACGAACTAACAAAAATGAATCACATTGGCGCAAAGAAAATTTTTGGGGTTTTTGTGTATATTTAAGATAGATTAGCATTTTATTAATTATTTGAACCATTTTTATCACAAAACAAGTTTCCAGTGGCAACAATTATATTTTTTTAATAAATTATAAAGATAAACAAATAATAAATCAAATAAAATAAAAATTATAAGATAGAAACCTCGATAGAAACAGAACAAAAAAAACAATAAAATAGAAAAAAATAAAAGAAAAACAAAAAGAATAAAAAAATATGAATATTCAATAAAAGCTGGAATATATAATACAAAAAATGATTTGAAAAATGTTGAATGTAAGACTTTTTAAGTAACCCACATTTCTTATTATGTTACTTTGAAGAGATGTTTTAACCTACCAAAAATGGGGGAAAAATATTAAATTCTCCGAAATCCAGCAACCTAGCGCCCGGTTAATATTCAGGATAATATATCAGTGTACCTACACTGTACATGTGTATATCATGATTAATTAATATTGAGACCGTAAAGTAACAAAGAACGTGACACATCTCACATCTGCACACAGGTTACCGACAAAAAAGAAAGTCGTTGGTAACTTAATGAGGATTGTCAATGGTTACCATAAACCTTCAAGATGTCATTCTCATTCTAACGTTTCGATTGAACAAGGAGTTGTGTGTGTACTGACTTGAGACAATAAATGAATTATTAATAATAAATATTAATAGTAAACACAAACTAAAGTAAAAGGAAGCGTGTGAAGAGCGCTTTTTGGTTTGAGCTAAGAAGCTGTTCAGTTAAGAATTTGGCACCTGGTTTTGTTTAAAATTACATTGATTTATTATGGCATACTAATTTCGAAAATACCTAATTTCGCGAAATTTTAATTTTTAAATTAAAGGCAGTGTAAGCAAATGTTGTTTACCCACCAATAAGTGTCGTTTCATAGTGTTGATTTAATGACGCCGCTTGACTACGGCAAATTCGGATGCAAGCCTTGAACAATTTTAAATTGTGAGTTGGAATGGAAAAATGTATTTTTTTACTAAACATTTGTCAAAAAAGGATCTGATTCTCACACTATGCTTTTGTGTTCTATAGTGAGTGTTGTTTGGCAAAATTAGGCACAGATGAGCAACTTAACAGTACTTAGTGTAAGTTCCTTTTATCTATTCAGTAATTGTTAAAATTTAGGCAAGTAGACAAATACGTGGGCTTTTGTGACTACTTACTCAACCACACAGTAACAACAGACATGATTGCAAATCCAAGTATAACAGAAATAAGCTGACATATTCCAGCAATTCTGTAACGGTGCTGTTTGTGCCACCTTGCTCGCTCCCTAGGTATAACTTCACTCACAGTTACGTACAACAGCGTACCCGCAGCTAATCCCTGAAACAAAAACACATGTATTTTAACCAGATCTTTTGCCCCATCCTTCAAACTCACTTGTAAAATTGGGAATAAACCGCCATATACATTTGCAGGTATTTGATTTATTCCCATTCCAACGAAGATTCCAATTACGGAACCTCCGGAAAATATTGAAATGGACACAAAATGATGGAGAAACGACTGAGCACTCGAGGCGATTTCTACTCCTAAACAAAAACTGACTACTAACTTATGGGACGATACTGCACCTAAAAGTAATAATACCTACAAATGTTAAAATAAAACTTAATGTTGGATACATGTAGATTATACTTGTCCACTAGACGACTGTAGCCCAATAGCTAAACCCTCAAGAATCGAGTGAACACATAAAGCGACTAAAAGCCCCAAGTTTCCTATTGGCGATGCGTTACACGGCCCTTGATGACCAACGTGGCACAGTTGTGAAGGGGGGTGGTCGTCACAATTATTTTCTTCAAACAATTTTACGCTTTCTTCGACACTATGGTGACTACACTCACTATGAGATTGCTTGCGGTGTACGGAACCGTAATTTTTACCACTACTACTAATTCCATGCGTGTGAGCGTCGCCGTAAAAAAAATGAACAATTTCGTCAAGCACGTAAACTATGAAGAAGCCTATGCAAAGTATAATCTCCGCATATTTCGGCATGTCATGTCTGATTTCTGGAAGCATGTGAATTAATGATGTCGACATTAGCACACCTCCTCCGAAACACAACAAAGACGATAAACATAGTGTCCAATTTCGTTGTCTTTGTAGCACAAAACAAACCGGTAGTAAACCAAGAAATAAACTCGATAAACCTATAGTTACTGCAGCTAAGACCTTAGCACCTACAACGTCCATAGCTACTTAATAATATTTGGTTCCATTTCAAGATACTGATAAAGCTTATCAATGTAAGGCAAGTTCATAAAACAGATAATTCAAATGTTCTATGTATTTATTGATAAGATAAAGCTAACTTGTTTCACATCTCTCTCTATCTTGTTTCTCATTGTAATGCTCTTTTATAAACTCCTGATAAAACTGCTTTTGAGGGGAAGCCGCCGGTAAATAGTGTTTACCGGGGTGCACGACGGTGGTGGCACATGTAAAAACGTTCCCCAAAGCTTCGCTCATTTCTAGAACAACAAAATCATTAATCCATGCACACTTGATCCTGGTAAATAATGACAACTTTTTAAAAACGTCAAGAATAATTTTTAAAAAAATTTTTAACAACCGACATATTTCTTCTGTATCATTTTTGAAGCAAAACTAAACAGCAGGAAACTTTGGTGAGTACAAGGCGTCGAAATGGCGTGTGAAATTGCAAAAATTTGACAATTCGGTTTTTTAACATAAAAACAATCAAACCATCACCGATTGTAGTTTGTCATTTTGATAAAAAATCCCAAATTGCAAAAACACGTCCATTTCGATATCTAGGGGGAAGTTTAATGGAAGGTTTTAGCATTCGCCTGCGCCCCCATTTTACAACAATAATATTGCCGCCCATTAAGTGACACAGGCCATAAAATTCTCTTTACAAAAATACCCATAAAAATGACCCCAAAGAAACGCCATGTAACGGAAATATGTACAAAGGAAATGATGTTCAAAATATGCGATAATTACTACCCTTACTAGAAGAAAGTGGCCATAATAGCGCCTTGCAACGTGAGATGGAAAATGCGTTAAAAATCAAGCAGATTAAAGTTAAAAAGACCGTGGTTGCCACTCTCTGGGAACCCCTCTGCCAATCCAATTACCAAGATACCCGACTTTCTAAAGAGGGCCGTTATCTTGAATCTCTAATTCACCGCCTTCCAAAACATAGGCTCTCCCAAACCAAGTTCCTGGCTACGCCACTAGCAGAAAGTGCCAATTTTTTTCGTCTATCAGCATCTCCTCCAGAACCGACCAAATTGGTAATTTTTTTGAATTTGTAAGGAACATTTTTGTTTTTCAGGAATATTACATATACAGGGTGGTGACTTGCGTAACGCATCATAGGGATTTCAATGTAAAATTCATAACATCGGATTATTGGCTCCCCAAATTATTTTAGAACAAAAATGTATTAAGGTTTTTTGTAGAAAAAAATTTTTTACGCCAATCAGCCATATTAGTTTTCAATTTTTTGCATAACAAAGACGGAAAATTGGAAAAATAAAACCCCCATCTTTTTCAATAATCAGCGATGCCATGGAATTTTCTAAAACAAACAAACCGCGACCAGAGAGTTTAATCACGTCATGGAACCTGCAAGGAATTAACCTTTTGCAATGTTACAATTGTCTGGCCAGCCAATAGTTTTATTAAAGCATTAATTAAAATAAAAAAATATAATAATGGAATTTAAAATTACAGCAAATGTTCAAAACTCATTCCATTATTAACTAAGCACAATCGACACCGTTCAGCTACTACAGTAGTTACCTTACGCAATGTATTCCCATTAAACAAATGTTACATTGTACAATGACAATTAGACCTCTATGCTAGCTTTGTTTCCATGACCAACTATGACGAAAAAATGAAAATTGTAATTTTATCCATGTTTATTATTTGAATGATTTATTGTATTGTTAATACATTGTTGGAAAGAGAAAAAAAACTGTATCAAACTGAGTAAAAATCCAATATGGCCTCCATTTAAAATAAGGAAGTTGATGTCAATATCTCCAAAACCGTCATTTTAAAAATGTTTTTTCTCCAAGTCCATTAAATTAATCCCATCGAATCTTGAAACTTTTATTTGAAACCGAGTTTGAAACTTTTTCCGACAGCTCTCTTTGTTGCTAAAAACTTCGAATTTTTTAAAAATGTCGATTTTCACTTTTTTCCAATTATCTACGAAACATTTACTTTTTTTAAAATATCGCATCGGACTATCCATCAATATCAAAAACTACACAACTTTGCCAATTTAACCGACTCTATAAGTATAATAACAAAGATAGCCATGTTATCCTATTCAAGTTAAGACCCCCTGTATAATAGCGGAAAAGGAGGCAAATTGAAAAATTAACCAGCACTTGCGGAAACGGAAGCAGAGGTCTCTTCTTATTACTATTATTATTACTTTCATGATATGCTAACAAATGTCTCAATTGAGATTTGCTTTTTGTCTATTTTAAAATGCAGTAAATAATAGTGAAATGTAATTCTGCCAGTGTTGTCAAGGATAGCCCCCTCATTGTTACGATTGGAGGGACTTGAACAACCCCACATGGCCTGAGGATCTTTCATTACGAAACAAAATACAATCTACCAAGATATATCCCATAAACGATTTTTTATTATAATTTTAAGGCTATGGCTGTTATCCTGAAATGTGAACCTAGTATTAATAGACATGGTCACTTGCCACTTGCAACCGACAAAAGTGCATTTACCCTACACATCAGTAATAACTCGGGAAGGAAAAAATCACCAAATAAGACAAGGGGGGAGAGGGGATGTAGTGAGATAATCCAATGCATTAATTTTTTCACTAAAAAGCGTGATTTCTAAACCTTAAAGAATGAAATCAGATTGTAGGTACTTACCTGTATTTAAAAGATCTCTACTCTGAAAATGTTTAAGATGCTTTGTACTACACAAATACAGGTGATTTTCTGATGATCACCAGGGTTAGGGGGGGGGATGTTTTGATGCAAATATGATAGAACAAGTACATAGTAGAAATATCTCAATTGTTTAAAATTTCAAATTTGTAATCACAAAATGGGCAAGTTGTAACCATGAGCAAGTGGTGTATTTCGTCTTAACACTCAAAATATTACTTTCTAAAGAGCAGAAGCCGATCTAATATTTTTAAGTTAGTGTCATTATCTGCCAGTCTACAACTTATCTACCTTTAGGAATAATGTCATCAGATTCCCCATAAATATTTAATACTGGAAGATCTATCAACTCATCGTAATATTTAAGATGTGGTAAGCTTCCCGATTTAAACCCAGAAGCCATAATGGCAAAATTAAAATTAATGTTAACCACTAAAAAAAAAGGGGATTAATTGAAAACCATGTCGAATTCAAACACTAACATCCTCTCTGTTGTAAATCGCAGAGAAGTCCGACAAAACAAGCACCCTGTGAAAATCCGAGTAAACCGTCAAAAGGGCCATACTTCTCAAACGTTTCCTCGATCAATTTAATACTCATATCAAACCCGATAGCAGGACCGCCCTTTCTAATCCCGCGGAATGTGTAGTCGTCTCGATTGAACCACCAGCCGTATTGATCTACAACATACAGAAGTGAATAACGGTATAATGATGAGGATAACTGTACCGCTCTGTTCTTCGTCCTTCTCGGTAACTTCACCAGCCTTACTCATATCTTCTACTAGAACTACCTTGTGTGGTGCAGTTATGTAGTAAAATTGGGCCCACCGTTGGACCATCTTTCGAAATGATCCGGTCTTTTGTTTGAAAACTTCTGCATTCTGACGATAACCGTGGATTGCTAAAATTTTTAGTTTCTCGGGTTCCATTATCAAAAACGATCCTTTTATATATTAAATTTCATTTAAAAATTGGACAATCTTTTTACGTTACAACATAACCACACACATCAACCTGAGAGGCAGTGGATATGGCTCACGTCGAGTCAATTCAAATCGCCACCTACATACAGGGTGAATATGAAAAGATATGGCGCTTTAGTATAATAACTGTTTCACAAATGGAGCAATAAAATTTATTTTTTTCTCGTAAAACTGAATTTCATTCGCGCATAATTATTTCAACAAACCTATAATCGATCTCCAGTGTAAAACCTACAGAAAAATTATCAGCACCCAAGTTCCAGAACCTCATCTAATTTGTTTCATTTTATAGGAAGCAATTTCTCTATTTCAGAAGAACATAAGTGAATTTTCCGCGGTAATACAACTTTAAAAAGTTATTGATATTAGTTATTGTAGATCTTTCAAGATGTATTTGATACCCAAAAATTTAAAAAAAAATTCAGAATCATTATAGGACCTAGCGCAACAATGGGAAACAATTCTATTAGCTAGGTATACGGTTCGACTGGGTGGATATCAGTCAAGTGTTATATCGGTTTTTATGTAACGCTATATCTAAATGTGGACAGAGTGAATAATAGACCCCACAAATATCTAGAATGCGCCATTAATAAAGGGAAACAAGTTTTATTATAAAAAGCATTTATGATTGCATATCCATCTGCAAAGAATTCTAGTAGAAAAAATGTAAAGCACTTATGATACAAGTATTTGCTCTTATCCGTAACTGAAACAAAATTCTCACAGTTCTCTACCGCACTTAATAAATTACTACAATACAAAACATTGCAAATATGGTTTCAAATAAATTAATTACGATGTTAAAGGAAATATTTCAGATCACAAGAGCTGCTAATTGTTTAGAACGTTTTCCGATTTACCACCCTTTGACCTTCTTCATCGTATTCCTTCTTAGACACCCACAGTTTCTTAAATGTGTCCAACGACGCTAATATGGAACCGCCAATCCACGTAGAATACAACCTTTCTTGTGGAGCTGAAATCTTTTTCAGGCATAAAATTACAGATAGCTTAACACTAGATATGTTCTTACTTTTATTTGAATGTCCTTCGGTGACAATTTCTTTATTTCTGAAAGTAGCCTATCACCAAATCCCTACAATAACATCCTTAGCTTTAGTTGGTTGCAATGATACATACTTTAAATAAAGTCGACCCTCCTGATAGTACAATATTTTTCGATAAAATCTTACGTAAGTCCAAGTCTGACTTTTGAATTGCAAACATAAGTACTTCATGGAGACCTTCACATTCTTCACCGATGAGATCAGGTCGAAATAGCACTTCAGGTGCACGAAATCTCGCTCTGCCGATTTGTATCACGTTACCGTCAGGTAGAGTGTATGTTTTGTGTTCTGTGTCTACACTTTCTTCTTTGAGGGGATTGTTTGCTAAATAGCACTCTCTTTCCTTGATCGTGCGAACAGTTTCAAATTCAGCAGTTGTTCTAAAATTAATACCTTCTTTGCGCAGTAACAGCCTAAAGTATCTCGAAACGTCTCTACCAGCAACATCAACCCGCATAATACTATGAGGCATTGCAAATCCTTCATAAATAGGAACAGCGTGAGTGACACCATCCCCTGAGTCTAACACTACTCCAGTAGTACGACCAGTTGAATATCTACAATCAATGTTGAAGCCTTTAATGTAACAATTCAAGGACGTACAAACTAAGCACCGCTTGCATCGAAATAAATAAGGCGGGCACATTTAGAGATTCAAACAGAATTTCCGCCGACTTCTCTCTGTTCGGTCGGGGGTTTAACGGTGCCTCGGTTAGTAAAACCGGATGCTCCTCTGCGAACGTCGACAATTGTTCTTTACTGTAAATATAACTCCAAATTTTTTCCATATCATTCCAATCCGTAACAATCCCGTGCTCCATCGGATACTTAATCGCCAATAACCCTCTATGCTCTTCAGCTTTGGGGCCTATGAAAATATCACTTTCTAAAGCACCCGCCATGACACGTATATGCTTCGGTCGACCGATGCTGCAAGTGTTAAGTGTTGGAGGAAATCATATGCAATGTTTTACTTACTAATTCGGAAATCTGCACTTTGGTATTTGATCGCCAGCGAAACCAGCTTTGATAACTCCGGAACCCTAAATATTACAATTGCATTTGGGAGCTGAAGAAAGAGAAACGATTACTTACATTGTCTATAACTACCGGTTGATTTACAATTACATCATAGGGCTCCATTTTAAAAGTATTTCTTAATATTAATTTAAAAAATAATTGTGAATCACACCTTTTGCTCTATAAACTACTAAACGTCAAAATACAGTTCCACCAACTTCCTATAAATATAAAGTACTATTTTAGTCACCGTTACTATATACAGAGTGTATTAGTAGTAAAGGTCCATCAAAATTATAGGAGAGCTTTAAAGGTTTTGTTAATTTACTAATTGAAATTTAAATTTACAAAATTATCTGGCGGCAAAAGGCATGTTTGACAAATGAACATCTTAGGGTGATATTCATCCCGTTCTTCTTATTACGCAAGACGGAAATCACATTCACGCAAAAAACATGCGTGAGCGTGATTTTCGTAAGAAAACTACAGTAGCGGAAGTGTAACAGACTGAGACAAGGCTCTCTGTCACATTAGTATAAATTGCATGACTATGATATTGCTTCACAATTTAAAAGAGAAGAAATTGTTCGAGTGGTTTCTCTCCGCGGAACCCCATTATTGTGCTTTTCCCTATAAAACGCTCGCGGGAGGTCGTACGGAAGGATGGGCGCGCCAATCAAAATAAAGTCAGAATGTTTATCGCCCTCGTTGGATCATTTTAATTAAGTATAGCGTCATAAAATATGGCAGATCCAAATTTTCAAAAATATGCATACAATATGCAATTCTTCAATATGCATTTATATGCACTTTTAAATGCATACCCATTAGTCAAAGAAAATTGCTCCAATCCCTATGTATTATATGAGAAAAATATCAACTGGACCTTTTTAAATAGTTTAATTAAAAATTTTACATTCTACATTAACTCTTAAAATATAGGTAGATTTCAATGAAATTGACAAAAACACTATTTACCTAATCCCTTCTTTTCCGTTTATCTCTGTCATCACGACGCTCAGGCTCCTTCCTTTTGCTGGCACGTTTCGCTTGACTCAAAAATTGATCGAGACCAAAAGGATCCTCTTCCTTCTCAAACTGTACGGGACCCGATCGACCTGCTCCACTCCTATCTGTACCACTAAACTCCTTATCTGGCACAAATCTATTAGTCTTCACCAGCTTCTCGAGATCTTCTCCGTAAACGTCCTTATCGACATTCCGGCTTGGGCGATATAAGTGATTTGCCATTGAACCCCCTTCCCTCCATGGTTTATCGTACACATTATAAGCGTCATCATCCCCGTAGCCGTGCCCCAAACCTTGAGCTTGTCCAAATAGTCGTTGATCGAACTGCGTTTCATTAGAAGAGGGACCACGGGCCGGCATGCCTAAAGCAATTTGTTCTGATATGTCACGTTCTCGCTCCTTCTGCAATCTTGTTCGTTTATCTGGTGCTGCACGTGCTAAATTTCGTTCACGTGCCCGTTCTTTGTGTCTGTCAATTCGAAGTATTTCTCGTTCACGCTCTTCATCGTTGGAAATATTAGTGTCACCAATTGGTGCACCGCTCTTAATTCCTGCACGTTCGTCGCGAGCTTTTTGGGCCAACTGTCTTAAGTGCTCCTCCTTTTGTTCCTTTTCTTTCTGTGCTAATTTACGTTCAAGTTGGGCACGTGTCTCTACGGCCTCTCTGGCTTTACGATCTGCAATATATAATGCTTCGGCAAGTTTGGCAAAGTTTTCATTGATGTGCAGCTGCTGTAAGCCTCTTCCATCAGCAGCGAGTCTTTTGTCTAAAGGAACCGTGTAACCTTTGGCATTTTTCCAATTTGAAATGCACGGGGGAATTTTCCACTCCTTTTGTTCTTTGACAGTTACACGTCTTGTTGGACTATGCAAAACCGGAGCCGGAGGAGAGGGTGGTCCACGAGGAATCTTCTTGTTAATGCGAAAACGAGGCGGCTCCATTGGATCCACTTGTGCTTCTACCAAGCGAATAACACGCTGCTTCGCACCAGAGTTAAAGCCAGCTCCTTGCTGTGACGGGGTGTAACGTATATATTCGGCGGGACCTAACTTTTCTGCGCACCGAACTGGCATTGCGGCTGCAATTTTCGAATTCGTTAATTTCTGTAAAGCTTGCCTGGTTTTTTCTGTTACTTCGTCGATTTCCTCGGCAGAAGGTTTTTGAAGGCTGGGATCGCTTTCTGCGACAACTTCTGCCGGTAGAAGATCCGTGAGTTTAGAGTATATAACTTTGTCCTTCGAATGTCCCTGTCTGGCAATAACATCGTACTTCACTTTACCCTCTGCGTCAAGCTGGACCGCTAACGCATTCGAAATCGACTCTTTACCTTTTTGGCCCATTTCGAGAGGGTATTGTACGACGTGAATTTCCGGAAATGCTCCTCCATCTCCAAAATCCGACGCTTTTCGTGGAACCCAACCTCTTCTCTGGCCATAAGGAGGCGCAATTGTTTGTGCGATTACTAAAGCGCTCGACGGTTTACTTATGCTCTTAAGGCGAAGTTCGTCATCCCTATCAAATACGGGCTGGGACGGTGCAGGTAAAATAGCGGACAATTCCATTATAAACAAAATTTTCAATTTCCAAAATTTTGTTAAGAAACACAAGCAGACATGTTTTTGTAAGTGTACGTCACACGCTAAAGATGTGTTGCCAACTGCTATCAAAAATTTACTAGATCATTTTTAGCAGACATAAAAATTCTTGTTTTTTCCAATTCTCCAAAAATATAACAACCGCGCATCCCATACAGCCCGGTCCATTTAATGTAATCAACCAACGTGACTATGTTTTATTAGTTGCAGAGTATGTGCGATAACCATTTTATATGCAATACAATAAAAAAGGATATAGGACAGATCTAAAAATATAAAATACAGAGCTAAAGAAGAACCAGGCTAAATAAAACAAAAAATAGAATATAAGCAATGAAGAATGAGAGGTCGAGCAAACGATCGAAGAAGATAGCAGCACAAACTATAAAAAATATTAATAATATTTATATATTTTTATAATACACAAACAATAACTTAATATTACTGCAATGACTTTAAGTACTTACAAAACAATACAAAAATATAGATAATTAATGATTTTTTACAGTGTCTTTTCCATAAATAATATTTGAGCAAATCATAATACATAGAAAATAATACAAACAATTAAAAACTATTAAACCTGTACTGTTCTAATTCTGCTATTCTTTTTGTTGATAAAATACAAACTAACTGTTTAAAGTATAAATTCAGTCTTTCACTAAAAATAATTAGTGATAATATAAATTGTACATAATGGAGGTGAGCCTGGAGAGCAATTCAAATACATTATTAACAAATAGATACAACAGGGTAATATTTCTTCATGTCACCAACATCTACTACGAAGAATTACAAGTAGGTTTTAAAAGATTATTTAACCTTTCGATTTCAGCACCCAATGTATCCACACTTTCCTAAAACAGACGTGGATGGTTTATTATTTCTTACGCACACGTTGTTTCTCGAACATACAGCAAACTTACTTACCTTTAATGTAATATTTTTAAGCAAGGCATCTTCAAGTACGGCTTGTAATTTACGATTTATATCCAATGATAATTCCAATGTTAGATTGCTGTCTGCCATTCGAGAGCCATACATGGATGCCATTATTCCATTGAACTTGGCTATGTGCGCCTAAGAAACGATTACTGTTGCATATATCACTAACGTAAAACGCATAGAATAAGAAAATGACTTACCACAATTTGGAAGCCTTAAACAGTACGTAAGCATGCATAAAATAGAAAATATGGAATAGATTTAAACATTGTTTATCGGCTCAAAGTAATACACAATTTGAATTTTTCGAATAAAAATATGACATTAAAAGGAAAGGCAAAGAGCCATGCTGTACCAAATGCTTCAAAGCTTCAGAAGTTTGAACATAGATAAAGTGTCAACTAATATTTATAGGTTTTATTAATTTGTAATTTATCCAAAGCATCAGGACAATTCATAACTAAAACGGCCACGACCATTTCACTCAGATATTTTCAAAAAGTTAAAATATAACGTTAATCCTAGGACTAAAAATTGTCCATTTAAGATAATATTGCATTGAATAACATAAGGCGAAAATAAAGTACTGAAATGTCCCTTCTGAAAGATTAAAAACACCTCTTGTATGTTCAAAGTTCTTAAACCCTCATTGACTAAATACTTCTCTATGGTGAAATAGTAGTTTGCGCTTTAGTCATTCCATAATTGTCCAAGAGAGACATTTTTGAATTGACACCTTACCTTATTATTATCCATCTTATTAGAAGTCATCGCACCAGTTGATTCGCGCATCATATAGTTCTGCAGCAGTCGAGTTTTTCTCTGCAATTCGCTAACTAACGTGTTAATATGTTCCTCTAGAAAGTCTATCTTCTCGGATTTTCTGGCGCTGATTCGTTGCAATTTGACTATATGCTCCATTAACGTTTGCTTATCGATTGTACTTTCAGGTTGAATTACTTTAACTTGTTCACCGATCGAATCGGGGGGCAGATGAGATTCCATTGCATTTAAAGATGTACTGGAGCTATTGCTGCTGTTGCTTAAAGTTTCGTATTGTTCGATTTTTTTTCGACACTGCTGCAGCTCCTTGTTGACTTCCTGTAGATGACAAACAAATTAAAAAACTGGTGCAATATTATATTATTAGTAGGATACTAATCAATTTAACCAATCAACTTTTTTGTGTATATTACACAAGAAATCGACATTTGTATACCTACAAATTATGTGGAGTGACACAGGGATCAAATCTCGGTCCAATACTTTTTTGTATTTACATAAATGATTTGTTTTCTAACTTACTTCTTTATGTTGGCGATACAACTGCTTTAAAAAGTATTTTCAACAATAAAAGCAAAGATGTAATACAAAAAATTGAAGAATGGCTCATTCAGAATAGACTAAATTTAAACCAAAATAAACCTGAAGAATATAGTTTCACCTTAAAGCAGGCTGATAGTATAAACAATTGTGTTAAATATTTACGCCCTAACTTTTATTGATAAATCTTGTTATACTATTACTAGAATTACTTTCAGCGACAGCTCCAGTTTCCTCTTAATAACAGAATTCTCTCCTTTCTGGAATGCAATTTCTTGTGTCAGCGAGTCGTTCGCGGTGGTCTTCTCTGCCAACTTGGATTTCAATTCTGCAATCTCCTCCACATATTTATTTTGTTCTTCCACCAACTGTTTAGATAAAATTCCCACTTTCGTCTCTTGTTCTTTTGTCGCTCTACGTAGAAGTGTCTGCTCACAAGTCAATTGCTGAACCTGCAAGCAAACGAGTAGAACACAATGCAAGACAAAAGTGTAACTTATTACTTTTGTTTCCATGGCCGTAAATTCCGACTGCAATCTTACATTTTTGTCTGTGAGCTGTTGGGTGAATAGTAATAGTTCGGCTTCACGTTCGCGACATGATTCCATATCGCATTCGAGTTCGGAGTTACGATTTTTTAATAGCGCCACTTGTTCCCTACAGGCCAGCAATTGTTCTTGCTCACTGAAGAGGGGAGAAGATTCAATTTAGATCAAGTTATACCTTAAATTTACTAATACATGTTTAATTTTAAATCATTTTAACATATATAAGATAATGGTAGGTATACAGGGTGACCCAGGACAAATGCCGGCTATCTATATCTCAAAAGGAGCCCTCAGAATATTTTGGAGATTTGTAGGTAGACTAATGTCAATGAATCTAAGTTGTTGACCCATTTCGTTATACCAGAAGTTCATGCCAACTTGCTTAGTTTAAATGTAACACCCCATATATTATTTTATTTGTAAATTCTATGTAAAATTCTATACACATTTCATGTACAATCAGCTACAATGTAATATACCATAATTTAGCAGTTTATGACATATTTTAATTTTTGTATCAAAAATGACATTTGCAACTAAAATCATAATTCCCAAAGAGGGCTGTTATTATTTAATTAGGTGGTTCTCTTTTAGCAGAGTCCGCTTTAGTAGACTATTTGATATTTTGATCGTGGTCAAAAACTAACATACATTGAATTTAAAAAACTGTTTTTTAATTAACCCCCTATTTTTATAATTGTCAAAAAAATAAAGGTAACTTTCTATGAAATAGTCTACTCACAAAATTTTCAGTTTTTGAAATATTGACTATTTAATATTTTTTCTATTATAAAAATGCTATTCAGAATATCGAAAATGTTTCATGTGGGACTTACGGCCCCAAATATAATTTTTCTGAGAAAACAATAGATAGAAGACACAGTTTTACATAGGTTTTTGAGTATACTCTTTCTCTTTTTTTTCTTTTATAAAAATCATTCCAATATTCCTACTTCAAAATGGTGCACACCTACACAAGGGTCTGAAAGACAGAATCGACCACATTTGTAAATTCAAATAAAAAAATGAAATTCTTGCTAGAAATCAAAAATGGTCACAACATCATGAAATTTTGTGGATACACTGTTTATGCATTTTACATGAAAACTGTCTTTCTTCATACGACTTTGCCCTGAAATTATTTTACAAAAATCCAATTTAAATGGATCTGATTTTTTTATCTTTTCAAAAATCCAACAAAAACATGTACTTTACTTTTGAATTTGAAATTTAAGTTGCTCCAACTGCGTGGTTTTCGTCATCAGATCGGCTGCATCCTGCCGCTGTTGATCGGCACATCCGCGCAACTCGCTCAGCTTTTGTTCTGTTTCTAGCCTCTCGCGTTCTAACTGCTGCACTTTAAGAGACAGGGTGTTGTTTTCGTGCAAGGTTTCCTTCTGTTTCGACTGTAATCGCTCCAGTTCCGCTTGCAGGTTCTTCACTTGTTTCTCTCGATCGTCTTTATCGTGCCTTAAGAGAATTAAGTTCGCCTGCTGTTCCTTTAGCTGTAGATCGAGTACGTTGGCACGATTTTCTTGGGAATGTAGAAAATTTTTCATTGCGTCTTCCGTGTTTTGCTTTGTCTGTTCAATTTGACCGGCATGGTCCTGGAGGCTGGCAGTTAGGCTTTCTATTTTTTTGTCGTTTTCCTACATATACAAAAAAATTGTATAGTGTACAAAAGTCTAAAACTTGAATTACCTGTCTCAGTTCCATTTCAGATCGTAGATTATTTTGTAACCACTTCATTTTCGTTTCTAAAGCGCCTAAATCCCCTTTAAGCCTTTCGATTTCTTGCTGACTAGATTTTAACTCATAGCACTACAATTTTAAATTTAAAAAAAACTGCAACTAACTACACAAGCCTACCTTCGTATCCAATAGTTGGCAGATACGTGTCTTCTCTGAAAACGTACCAGATACTTTAGTTTGCAAAATTTCGTTTTCGCGATGTGCTTCTTTAAGTTTCTTTTCTGCATTGTCTCGGGCAGATTTTAATTCTAGGACACTTTTCTCGCTTATGGCATACTTGATCACCATCGTTTCCTTTTCTTTTACTGCAGCTACATGTTGCCTAGTTGTCTATTAGCAACAAACCGTAAAATAGGAGTGAATAATCAAGTTAGATACATACCAACTCTAATTTCATCTGCAACTCTTTACACGTTTCACTTAAGATTGAACACTTTTGATCTAATTCGTTAATATTATGGAAACAGCCCTCTAATTGTTTCTGGTAATCATCCAATTTAAGAACAGAAGTTTTTTTGGTTTCATCGGTTGTTTCTGAAACAAGTTTCTTATTACTCTGCAAGTTTTTATTTTCAATTTGGTACCGTCTCCATCGGAAATGCCAGATTCTGAAGCGAAAGCTTCACAGTCGCTTTCAGCATTTGATGTGGTCTTAGAGGAAAGAGTTTCCTCCCTCATTTCCTCCAGCATATGGCCATTGATTTCAGATATGTCACAAATATTTGTTGTTCCCTCACTCATTTTTGTTTATTTACAGTTCCACACTCATAAATTCCACATCAAAGATTATATTTACATAATTCATGACCATAAGCAGAATTAAACAGGTTGATTATTTACATTGCAGGAAAGAAATGTCAGTACCTAGCTGTCATCTGACGTATTGATTTGTACCAATTTGTACGATTCATTCGAACTACTTCCTGTTATATACAGGATGGTAACTTGAAAACGAACCCATAGGTTTAATGCAAACAAAAATTTGATTCACGAAGCGATTTCCCCTTTGGATTATGTGATTCCTAAAAGCGGTGAACTTTTTTTCTTCCGTGAGACTTGAAATTCGTTCACCAACGGCTCTTATTATGTGGAATGCCTCATTGTCCCAAACTTCGCTTGTTTCAAGAACTACAACTGTGGAAATGTACTTTCCTTTTAAAAATGAAATTAGTTGTTGGCATTATTCAATGTTGTTGGTCAAATCCATGCGCGGGTTGAAGACTATAAGAGCCTATGGATGTATATGCATAAGGTTGTGTGAATTGTGAAGTAAAATTTCTTTGTTAAATTATCGCAAATTTAAAAAAAAAACGCGTGAAAAAAATGAGAAATATAGCCCTTACATATTTGATATTGCATAGAAACAGACACCTGAAGAAGGTCTTAAAATCTCTTAAAGGCACTTAAAAGCCTCTCTCAAGGACTCAAAAACCTCTTTAGTATCTTAACACATTTCAAAGCTAGTTTCAAAGTAACTTGTCATCAATCCACTTAGTCAATATCACCCCGTTTTGAGTCGTTATAAGATGGATAGCTACCAACTAGTTTCAAAGATTAAATTTTGATTAGCGGTTCTAAAACCCCTTGGAGACTTGTTGCAACTTTTGGACGCCTTTTAGAAACCTTCAAATATGAAGGAATTCCATTAAAGCTTAACTATAAGGCGCCGTTTGTACCATAATTATTTCTCACGAAAAATAAATATATTTAGAACTTATATTTATATATTCGTGATGGTACAAACGGCGCCTCATAACCGTCTCTTATTTTGACATATTTGATTGGTATACGCTGTATAATGAAAATGGTTAGAATTTACCAAATTATAGGCAACCCACCTTACCTTCAACGATAATTTTGCATACTTCACACGTCATAATTACACAGTTGTGGGTACACTGGTTTTTAACTGTGTTTATTTGCTTTTAGGGGGCCGCACAGTGCCAGAAGTTTAAAGGAGGCCCTCGAAAATGGAACAGCCCCCAATTAAACCTCCGCGAGGAGTTAAACCGATCAAAGAAACGGTAGGTAGTACGAATGAACAAAAGTCGCTTTCCTAACGTTTCTTTTCCGACAAATGGTAGAGTGGTCTTCTGATGTCGGTAATTCGAACCTTGTCCGCCAGTGAAACCAACGAACAGCGAGACAGAGAAAAGGCGAAGTTAGAGAACGAGTACAAACAGAGCGATCGGAAGCTCGACGAATTGATATTAAAGCACGAAAATAATTTGACGAAGGTGAACTTTGATTGAGTGATTCAATTGTTTATACGAATTTTGTAGGTAATGCAATTATTTAGTGCTCTTTCGCAGCAAATAAGCGAGTCGAGAGAGAAAATACACACGGTTAAGGAAAACTTAAAAGCATGTAAGACACTACTGCATTGTCACAGGGACGAATTGAGGAAGTTGTGGCTTGAAGGATTGGAGTATAAGTATATGCTGCAGTTGTTGGAGGAAGTGTAAATGTTTGCTTTATTTTTGTTTGTCGATTTATAACGGGTGCTTTAGGGAGAAAATGATTGAGGTACCTAATCAGCTCACAAATTATTTGGCTAAAAAGCATTATCTGCATGCAACCGAGCTGCTAGTGCGAGCAGTTTCTTTAGGAAAAAGAAGTTTAGATGGAGTGGAAGGCCTTAAGGAGTTAAGTCAGGAATTAGAGTCAAAAAAAGAGGTAATTGTAACTTTGCTGTGCCAAATAAATATATGACGGTTACTTGCTCATACTCAGTACACTGAGGTGAAGTATTCGGGCAAAGCTTGCCCCCCCCCCCCCAAAACCTAGAGAGATGAAATCCATAATTAAACATTCAAAATTAGGTGGGATGCGGGTCCTGGATTTATTATTATTAAAAAACAAAAAAGACTCATGGAGTCTAGGGCGTGGGATCGAGTGTCCTATTTTGCTTGAGACTGCAGTTTATTTCAATTGTTTTTAAAAGATAGAGGCCTTGTGCCACTTTTTGGTGAAACTTATACTAATTAACAGATTCTAGCTTTACCTTTGCTTCTGAGATACAGGGTGGAAACTCTTGACGTTTTGGGATGTTATACCATATCTTGCTAGCCATATAAGATAGAAAAAAGGTAAAAACTGTTTCTTTTAGATATTTTTACATAGAATCCAGTGGCGTAGTCAAATACATTTTTTGTATATCACTGTATGTTACCTTCACCGGACTGAGTATGACATAGACATTGCAAGTGTGTGTATGTTTGGTTGGTCTTTTACAGCATCTACATTTGCAACTAGTGAACGAACTAAGGCAACATTTATATGTAAAACCGGCCCAAAATGCACTAGTGCTTCGCCGCCAAGGATCGGGCAAAGAAGGTCTGTTCAGTTCACCACTTCAAAGAAGCATCGAACTGCGTGTTTCATCTCGACAACGAACAGCGGTCAGGCGAAATTTACTCGAACCTTCAAAGTAAGTTGCTTTTATAGTGAAAACTTGCTTATATACTCTATACCAAAGGTCCACATCCAAAAAGAAAGAATTCGAAATTGAGGAAGACTTGGAAGTGACCGATCCCGAAGCAGACTCGGCGAAATTTATGGGAATACTGGTGAAATGTTTGATGCTCCTTGATAAGCTACCATTCGCAGTAGATGTGCGATCAGGTCTAATATTTACATGAGTATTCATATTTCCATTGCAGAAGTTAAAGATGGAGATGCAAAGCGAACTTTTGACCATTGTTCAACGTACAACAATTTATATTAATGACTATAGCGCTATACAAAGTGATATAAAGCAAACAAAACAAAACGCTTTGTTAGAACTAATGCTGACTCTGTTTGAACAGTTTAAAGAAGTGGGTGAGGCACACGCTTTGCTGTTGACACATTTAATCAGAGCAGCAGAGGGACATGCAGTACCTGTTAAAGTTTACGATATGTCTCTGTTTTGGGCGCAAGTACAATCTGTTGTAAGTATTTTGATTACGCACAGCAAATCTGTCATGTTTGATGAACACTTGGTGTAGTAAGGTGATTGCCGTATATAAGTAAAATAAATAAGCTTTAAATTTCCAAAAGTCTTTCGCGAATTGGTCCTGAGGTTTTTGTATATGACACTTATTGGCATCACAGTTCATGACCTGGAGTTATAGATGAGAAAAGTTAAACCTCTGAACAGAAAACATCGCCATTTTTGTAGTGGCGCCCCGGGGCAGCTACAATTATTATTATTATTATGGTCAGTCTTTCTTGTCAGAACTTAGGTCTAGCCTGGTTAACTAAATCGCACGGATTAAAATCAAGTAACGATTAGTGTTTGTCTGTACATCGTTCGTCTAGTCAAGTCCTAAATTTTATATGATAGTAAAGAAAAAAAAATAATTATAATAAATAAATACCTAAATAAAAATAATAATTTAAAAAATGCGTGGGAGTTGGAAACTAAAGTAGGTAGGTAAGTACTAAAGGTAGTTGGACTTGTCACCTTTAGTGCCCATTGATCGCCTTTTACGATCTCCAGGGCGAGAGTGGGCCAATTCTATCCCCGAACCCACAGGGGTTATTATAATTATAGTACAAGGGTCCCAGTCAGTTCCTGCACTGCGACCTTTTGTCTATTGTCCCTCTCGATATTGCCTAAATGCCTACCCTTTAACAAACCAGGATTTTCATCCTCTTGTCTAATTTTTTATTTCCAAGTAGGCGTTCCCTTTGCCTTTGTGTATGCTTCACATCGGCAAATGACGTGGTGTTGTGGTTCTTCTTCCTCACCAACAATCCCTGCATAATTGGCTGTCAGTCAGTGCCATTTTGTGCAGGTGTTTGTTCAAACGACAATGGCCTGTGACAATTTCTGTCGCGAGTTGGATCTTCATCCTACTTAACTTTAGGATAGACGATGCTAATTCTCCATTTGGTGTTTCCAGAAGAATGTTGGAATGGTTCTGTCCTGGAAATTTGACGACCAATGTCTGCAGTGCTCTTTCGTGAGCCTTTCCTGAATCTCCTTATTGGCTGTGTTATATGTAATCTCACAGGCCGGTTTAAGTCCTTGCTGCTTTCGCAAGTTCGCCTGTAGCAGGTCGAGGCCTTGTTGTAGTGGATCAGGAAAGTTGTCATCCCTGGTGTTTTATACGGATGGAAAGTTCTCACTGTTCACTGTCTGTCGAGCCAAAACCCAATCTCCTTGGTCCACAGTAATTGATCCGCCCGCGTCATTTTGAGCGAGGGTCTTTGATCCCCGAAAGTGTAATTGAAGAAAAAACTCCAAGGTCTCCTTTGCGGTCTCTGCAACAGAATTCCCATAGTGGTAGAACAAACATGCACGATCGGGGATTGATTTGAGGTGGCTCAGTCATTAGCCGCGCTCCTTTCAGTCCCAGACCTCTTATTAACTAGCCTATTGTGGAGCCTTCAAGAGGTGGTCCTCCTCTGTTAGTATCCCCAAAGTGAATCTGTGCTTCTTTAGACCTTTTCATTAAACCTATTGACTACCTTCAGTAAACAAAAAAAAACATGAAAGCAGAAAAATTAAAGCCTTTGGAAAAACTCTGACTCTTGTCTCTTTTAGAGCTGAGGACTAATAACACAAAATCATCTTTTGTACAATAATTTTCTTAATTTAGTTCTTTGAGACTATGCACCTACATATTGCCCGCTTGAGAACAAGACAATTTGTAACATTTATATACAGTTACAGCTGTTACTTAACGACTATTTGGATATACAAAACATTTCCAATGAGTCACAGTTGGTTGACAATTTTACCGATCCTAACGATATTTCAAGTTATTTTTCGAGACGCAAACAACAGACGTAAGTATATCAAACATTTTCCCATTGCATTAACGCCAATTGGTTTAGCAAAAAACAATCGCTATTCAAATTTGAGGGCTCTCTCAGTGCGCTAACAATGAGTAGCAACGCGAAAGACATCCCATCGTCGCGAAATAGTAGGGAGAAAATACTGGTGTGTTCACCAGACGCGAATAATATTACGCTAATATTTATTCCTTTGATGTGTTTTATTGAGGAAATTGAACAGATGCTGAAATTGAACCAAGGGTGAGTGCCTCGAAACTGTTGCATCTGTTTGCATTAGTTTTTCAGAGTGTCCTGTTCGTTGCATTTATTTGTTGCAAATTACATTACTGACGGGTTTATAATGAGGAAACGGGCTGAAACAATGGTACAGATTGATATGGCTGTCCGAGCTGCTGACGCATGGAAGACAACGGTTCTTCTAGATGCTACCACCGATTATAAACCTTTATTATTGGTAATCTTTTGTATTAGAAATATGTAAATGTTTTGATTGTGCTTTAATAGAGCGCGATAACTGTAGAAAAGTGTATTAGAGAATGGCGCGAGTTGTTACGAACGCTTCCAAGCTATAGTGAACAATTACTAAAGTCGGTCTGTATTGCGTTAAAAGAGTACAAAGACACCTGCCTAGCCGCTTACCAGGGCATTGTCCAACCGCATTCGGAAGACAGGCGTATTTGTAGTGCTGCCTGGCTTAAGGATGAAGATATCAGTCGATTTTTGAAGTATTTCTGAACTCCACCGATTTGACTGTAACCTTCGAATTGTAGATCTTTACCCAATTGGTTAAATCTGAAAGCGCAACAGGAATGCCAAACGCGCAACGACCGCCGAAAAACGAACAGAGATTTACATCCCGAAGAAGAAAGTCCTGAAGATGTGCGACAACGCAATCGTCGCGAAGCGGAAATTTTGGGTAGTAACTTGGGGGAGGGCGGTGTGAGCGCGGGAGAAATTCTCTCAGACATGCTGCTGTTGAAGGAGTTGGCTCAGTTACAGGAAAGCATGGTATGATGCACTATTTAAATGTGATCACCCACATTGTTTTTAAGGAATGGTTTTCTGTTCGAATGCTGCAATTTATTAGAGAACTTCGTCAAGAGCCGTCCTTGGCACCAGCTCAGAGTACACCAGACCCCCCTTTATCAGTTTCATCCGCGACACTGCAGCAGTTAACGAGTATCGCGCAGGATTTCGACGAGCTCGCCAATACCTGCTTATTACTGCTACATTTGGAAGTCCGCGTTCAGTGCTTCCATTACCTTTTAGCCCAAAGCGAGTATAACAAAGAAACCCACGAACCGGACCCAAAAGTATTGGAATTGAGTCGAGTTTTGGCGAATGTCGATGAAGCCATGACGTCCAGCTTGCAACCACGGAAATGTAAAGTAAGAACTTCACTTGAGAGTTGCTCATTTTTTGTCTAGTACATTTTTGAAGGATTGGGTCATTTAATTGCGAAAATTTTAATTAGTTCTTCGCAATACATGAAGAACATCGACGAGACTGGTATTCAGCGTATGTGTCGAAATGTATTCGCTTTACAACAGACTCTTACAAATATCACCATGACTAGAGAAGTTGCGTTAGACCATGCCCGCCATTATTTCGAATTGTTCTTTTTAACTCCGGAGGTAAATGCGCATGTTTGTGGGTTGTTTTTTAGTGTTTGCATTTTAGGAAATTTTAAACGCAATTGTGGAGAAAGGTCCAGAATTTTCAGAGTTGGAGTACATGAATGCTTTTCAGTTGTTGTCACGAAGTAAAGGTGTTAAAGGCACAGATTTGGTAAACAAATATATGCAAAAGCTATGCGACATTCTGGGTGAAGTCGGCGTTACAGTTTAACGATCATAATTTCCTTAGTGTAATATTTATATATTTTCTATTAACTCTAGTAAACGATTGCTTGTTTTTGACTCTTTTATTTATTTTTGATAACATGGAAGACGTTACGGGTTACCGTTACTAAAACGGTTTCCCTTTGCCGTTACTGCAGAAGCTAAGCTTAAATTCAACAGTTTCGTCAAATATTAATCGCATTGACGTCGCGTGTGAAATCATTTTTCTGGACAGAGGAAGAAAGGTTAGTCAACAAATGAGGAAATGCACGTACGTCTATGTAAGATTGAAAAACCTTTCAGCTAACAAGTGTCCCCCCATTCAGAAGTGATTATTTATAAGGGTTGTTTGATCTTCGTAGTTTCCATTCGATCTGGGCGTCCACCTTGCACCAATTGGAACTGAGGAGTGATCTAACTGCAGAAACGATGATCACTGGGGTCCTTAAAAGAACCCGCATTTTTCAAGCAGATATTTAAAGTGAAGATACGCGCAAATTCAAAGACCATTTCAGAGAATCCGATAGACGTGTAAGCGCCATGAAACATTAGTCATCGGCGGTACAGAAAGAAGGAGAATGTGACGCAATATTTCCGGGAAATATGACGTGTTTTGTTCGAGAACTTTCTAGAACACTCGGGAGCGTTCAGAAACATACTAAATCGTTTACTATATACAGGCAAATCGAATTGCGTTTCAGACAGTTCCAATTTCAACGCCGAAGTAATAAATAGTTCGCGCAAATAAAATACAAATTTAAATTTGAATTAAAAAAAGGGAAAAAGACATCTTGAATGTAGTGTTTATTTATTTGTACTATGCATTGGTATCATACTGGACAACGAAATGCTCTACCAGCATATTTAGCATTAGAAGCAAGTTCTTCCTCAATTCGCAAGATTTGATTATATTTCGCGACACATTCAGATTTGCAAAGTCCCCCTGTTTTAATTTGTCCAGTAGCAAGTCCGACGGCAAGATCAGCAATAAAAGAATCGGCTGTATCGTGTAAACCGTGTGCTACCATGCTGCCGACTCCATTCTGCTTAGCAATCAAATGCGCATCAATCGTCTCGGTTACAGTCCCAATTTGGTTTAGCTTTATAAGTACACAGTTGCAAGCTTTTTTATCTGCTACCTCTTGTATCTTCGTTTGATTCATAAGCGTGAGAGTGTCGCCTACAATTTGTAATGACGGATATGCTTGCAACATTTTATTCCACGACACAATATCATCTACAATAAACGGGTCTTCGAGTGATACAATTGGAAAAGTCTTCATAAGGTCCCGGTAATACGTGTCTTGCAGTTTGCTACCGAGTAACCATTTCGCTTTGTCCGATTTTGGATTCTTGTAGTTCAAATCGTACTTGCCTTGTTTATACCAGGTGGTCGCTGCACAATCTAAGGCTAATTCAACGCGACCTGTATAACCGGCTTTACCAATCGCATCAACAATACACTTGAGTGCATCCTTATCATTCGGAAAATTTGGCACAAATGCACCTTTAGCATTCACGGCCGTCGCGTCTTTTCCAAATTTCTGTCCAATAATTCCTTTCAGAGTTTCTCTCACTTCGGCGCCCATTTTTAACGCCTCGGCGAAGGTGTGAGCACCTGTCGGTAGAATCATAATATCTTGCATAGCCACTTTATTGCTGCTTAGAATTCCACCGGCAATTACACTAAATGCCGGTGTTGGTATAATCAATTGTCGATTTCCCGAAAGGTCCGCCAGATGTTTGTATAGTGGAATACCTCGTTTGGCGGCACCCGCTTTGGCCACTGCCATCGAAACACCTAAAATGGCATTGGCGCCGAAATTCGACTTGTTTTCCGTCCCATCTAGTTTAATCATCAACTCGTCAATTTGGCGTTGTTGGGTCACTTCATATCCTTGCTTTACTAAGGCGGGACCAATGCTTTGATTTACGTTGGTAACTGCTTTTAAAACACTTATTCCGTAAAAATTTCGGGGTTCTCCGTCTTTTAAATGTGTGGCGATTTTATCGTTTGGTTCTTCGGATGATACCGCAGCACGGAAAAGTCCGAGATCTGTTACCAAATCAACTTCCACGGTAGGTTGTCCACTTGAATTGATCACTTGTCTGGCATACACACTTTTAATTGGCATTTTTTATTTTTTTCTGAACAATTTTTACTGAAATTTTGCTATTTTTTTTTCTAATTTTTTATGGATGATTAAATGTGAAAATGACAGTATTTATAATTATTGTTGCCATGGATATTTACACCATTTTTAGGTCACGTTGATTTTTGTACTGTATTAGATCGAATTTAATTTTGAATTCAAAGCTCCAACTCGTTTATTTACCCCACGCTGATAATGAAGGAGACACAACAACACTTTCTGTAAAAAAAGGTAATGCTCTTAATAGGTGCCCAACGTTAAGCCGAGTTGCCCTCTAATGGCTGGTACCTGGCATTTCTGAAGAAGGTTAAAAGAACGTGTAAGCTAAAAAGAAGTTTCAATTAAAGGTATTCACTCACTACCGTACTATGAACGTTATCCAGCACGGAAAACTACACTGACTACTACGACCACCAGAACGTCGGTGCCAAACGGTCTAATGGGCATAGTCTCATACTTTCCAATACAAACAATATTTTTTTTCCTGACATGTTCCGATTAAGATTTTAGATTTAATGCCCAACAGTTTACACCAATTACAGGACACAATATGAAACTCTGCCAACTAGGACAGGAAGCATGAAAACCCCGGATTTAGTGATTATAAACCCGGACATATCAACTGAATTTGATAAAAAATATTGTCTAAAAGTCTTTGAAATTGTACTTTATTAACCAGCTCCTAGCGAGTTTATAATTTTGCGGTATCTGTCCGTCTGTCCGTTAGCACGATAACTCATAAACGAATGGACCGATTACAATGAAATTTTGCAGGTGGATTCTTTATCAAATTTGTAGATCGGAGTTCGTGAATTGGCAATGTAGACCAAAAAATAATGTAGACCCTTTTGACATCTCCGTTACTTATGAACCGAATTGTATGAAATTCAATATGCGCATAGGTTTAGCCATACAAAACACAATTCGAAAAGTTGAGCCTAATCGATCACTATTCACAGTGCACTTTGCGCATCTCGACCATTTACAGACCGAATTGCAAACTTTCTTATTTATGAAGGTATTTCAATGAAATTTGATACGTACATAGCCACTTGGAATAAAACCAAATTTAACGCCAGTTTCAAAATTTGGTTTTTCGCATACGCAGTGCCAACTTTCTTATTTATGAAGACATTCAAATGAAATTTGATACATAGCCACTTGGAATAAAAGCAAATGTAGCGCCATTTTCCAAATTTGGTTTTGTGTAGGATGTGCAGTGCCAACTTTCTTATTTATGGATGCAATTAAATGAAATTTCATACATATACACTTTAAATAAAAGCAAAACTAACATCATGTTTAAAATTTGCTATAACCATATCCAGGAGCTCCTTTGCTATATTTGTTTAATTTATTTTTATCACTGACTAGACTGTTTCAATATTCAATAAATTCCTCTCTTTGGTCCACTAGTGAAAATATTCTTTCAACGTTGGCATTATGAGCAGGAATGCAAAAACAGCACTAGACAATTTTCAATAACTCCAAGTATAAATGAGGATTCAGTGTTTTAACAAATTGTAACCAAAGCTGACTGGCGCTTAAAAGTTTATCTTGCTGGCTTAAATTTTGACAGAAACTAGATGTCTCAGTAGCCTAAAACCCACCTACCAATGAAACCCAGCCCGGACGCCCCCTAAACTAGGACAAATCCGGGGAAACCCGGACGGATGGCAACCCTACATGTAGTGGGCAGACACAAAGAAATCCAGACCTGTATAGCCTTTGTTATCAGCGCTAAACACACATGCGTCTCGAAAAACACAACGTGCTTATCGCATTTGAGCAGATAACACTTAAATGCACTCGACAAGGTGTTCATTAATTTTAAATAACGCAATCTTAACATCTTATAATTTAAACAATCAAATTTGCATCAATGAATATTTAAAGAAACTAAAAACAGCTCCAAAGGCACTAAAATTTCAAATGTATGTTAAATTATGTTATTAATTGTAAAAAAAGCGTCACCAAAACAAATCAGCTTTATTAGTTTGTTTAAAAAAAACGAATATTCTTATCTATTTTTGTTTGTTAGTTTATTAAAACAGAAAAAAATGTCAAGGACCCAAAGCAAACCAAATCAAAAAGTAAATCTCTTTGGATAAGTGGAACTTTAATACTTTACAAAGGATACATTTTTTTGTTTACTACAAAATAGTTACACAGTAGTTTAAGGCATGTACGGCTGTCGAGATGGGAATATTTTAAAAAACCAGCATGATGTCTTCAGTACACAACTTGCTACAATACCTTTAATTATTTTAATTTATACAACGTTACAGTCTACACTCTTATAAAGAGTACATTAAGTTATTGAAAATATCTGATAACAATTTTATAGAATTTATTTGAAATGTGCATCAGATCAGTTAGCCTACCTTATGCACATAAATACATATACAAAATGAATCTTCTTACACGCGTAATAAAATTGTCAATATACAAATAATTAAATACAGTGTAGGTACTTTTTTAAATTAAACTAAATATATATTTACAAAGAGAAACAATAAAGTTTATCAAAAACTTAGTCCACAAAAATGCAGAAGGTCAAGACGTATAGTAAATGACTCCTTCAAAGGTTTAAATAACTTAACGAAATGGTGTCCAAAGCAGAGAGAGATAAGGAATAATGGAATTTAACAAATTGTATTACTCCGCAAGATATAATTTTGTAATCCAAATTGATAATTTTAAAACGTGGCCTGTCTGATTAGTTGCATACATTTTAGCTACATATCATTAAGTACAGCAAGTTCTAAAGATTGAGAATATCGGACAACATTGCATGAAGCAAAAGTTCCTTAATTACTTACCGTAACCAATTTTATGACGGATAAACTTTTATACTGCATCAATTGCTCAAATAGTTTAACAAAAAGCTCATGATTGCAAAGCTTCGAATTCTGTATTCCTGGTGCATTAAATTCAAACAATACCGTAAAAAAAGAAAACAACAGTATTGAAATAACTTCATTTCTAAATGACATCACAGACTTGCACTTTAATACAAAATCCCAAGCTAAGTGTCTCTTAATTTGATTAAGCTAAAAGTAACAGTTGCTTAATCTGCTGGAGCCAGCCCAAAAATAAATTAATACAAAGCGACTACAATGTTGAAATCTTATCTTCTATAACTATCCCTGTTAATTTCCAAGTCCATCCATTCCGGATCATTTGGGTCCTCATCGCCGAACGCAGATTCGGTTGATTCACTATTCGGAGAATCTGGAGCTTCATTTAAGTAATTTGTAGGACTGCTATAATCTTGCGCTCTAATATTTGTTTTAAATTGATGGTGTTCGGGCATCAACTTTAACATTTTGTCATAAGTGTCGTCACTAAGCGGGAAAACTCTCTGTTCGTACGGAATAACTTCGACGTGCTCTGGTGATGCGGAACAATATTCTTCCCTCATCGTATTATCTTTATCTTTACCACGCGACACTGAGATTGTACGCCTACGTAATGCACTAATTGATGGCAATGAAGAACTATCTTCGACATTCATGGATAGAGGTGTGGCAGGTGGAGATGTTAACGGCGACGTTGTATTTTCTATAGCTTCTCCGCCCATATGAGGTGACATTGGATCGGGCGTGTTACAGCCGCTAGATTCGGCGCGACTGTCCGTTCTTTTATGTGCACGTGCTCTAGCAGAACCGTAAGGAAACTTTAAGTAACTTAAAAATTTCTTTTTTTCATCATATTCGCATTTGTCGTGCCTAACCATCACCGCCTCTTCTGAGAAGTCCTCAGTCTGGAACACATTAAAAATTACATTTGTTATTATTATTTATTTCGAATTATATTTTCCCTTAAAATAATAATAAACCCCGATATTCGTTTTATTTTTAGATTCGTTTTCAAGAAAATTAGAAAAATTTTCTTGAAAACAAATAGACCGATTTAAAAAAATTAAACGCCAAAATAAAGGACTGCAAACCTGCAGACCTTTCAAACAAGCTATTACTCGATACCACACCACATTTTTAAGGGAATTGGGGGGGGGGGGGGGTGAAAAAGGATGAAGTAGTTTTTGGTTAAAAAGTTGTCCCCCTTGACAAATCTTTTGACGTGTCTCTGCGTTTTTTCCTTTAATCAGTGGTTTTTGATAAATCCGTGGTTTTCAAATGAACACCCTGTATAGTATTAGACATTATATAATAATAAATAATTGGTACTCGTATAACAAACGTTATTTACACAAGTCAGAAGAAAACAAATAACACAATATAGTTATAAGTTCTTGAATGAATACGGTTACAGTTACTCAGTCAGTGCAGATCGTGACCTTGAAACGAAAAGTCGAAAGTTTCGACTTGCACAGTTTGCGTGTTTTTGTTTTATTTGTTATGGGCGAAAAGTTATGGGCAAAAAACCAATTTCGACAAAAAAATCAAACGGCTGTAACTTTTCATCTAGTAGTCCGATCTTGGAACTGTTTGAAATTATGGATTCTACAGGCCACATTCTATAAGAAAATATTTTTTTCCGGTCGATCTTAGACAATTTTTTTCTTTGGGGTTCAAAAAAGGCAGTGTATAACCTTCCTTTTTTACCAAAAATCGACTGCACCAAAATTTCTCGGGAAAAAACTTTTTCTTATTAATTTGGGTGTGTAGAATCCAAAACGATTCGTACTTTTTCGATTAGACGTCTCAATCAAATATGGCATCTTGCTACCCATGTAAAGATAGATAAATATTTTTATGTAGATTCCAGTGGTGTACTAAAAAAACAACAAAAAAGGAACGCAATTTTCAAAAAATTATATTTTCACGAAAAAAGTGATATTGAACCACCATGTGGGAGCCATTATTGTAAAGAGAAAAAAAGATGTAATCTCAAAATGTCGTCCATAAGAAAAAATAAAGTTCCTTAATAACCGAATGTCATATTGGAATCCTCCATAAAAGTGCCTGAATAATGTTTTGGTTAAAACATGTAGCGATTACTTTTATCATAAAAAAAATCAAACATTTTCGTTTTTTTTGCAATATTTTGAAAGGTATTTTAGACATTTTAAACCTCTTGTCACATTGTTATTCAGCACGAAATTTTGCATTCATTTAACCAACCTACACAGTGGCGCTCGAAAAATGGACCCCCTGTATAAAGAATGACATTGAGATATCAAGGTGCTGCATTTAAACAATACCAACTTTGAGCCAAATCTCAAAAAAGGTGGTTTAAAAATTTTTTTGACACGCCACTGGATCCTACGTAAAAATATCTAAAATAGGCAGTTTTTACCTTGATGCTGCTTGTGGTATTAAGTTTCACAAAAAGTGGCAAAAGGACGCGAAAACCCCAAGCTGAGATACATCAGTCTCAACCAAAATCGGACACAGTACTGTTGTCTTAAACAAGGATAGAGTTAACAAACATATAGTGCAAGTCTTTAAGTTACTGATTCCTAAAAATTTTGCAAATCAAGGATTACTTTAGGGATCAAATTGTCATTGCTTTTGTGATAGTTAACCGATTGTCAATGCTCTATTGTTTGTTATAGTTTGGTGATATAATCGTTAACATTTTCTGAAATACACTTGACATATTTTAATTGTACAGGGTGGTACCATTGCGACCTCCGTAAAGGTGAGATATACACTGTAGATTAGGGGGGAGTAAAGTTGGTTTTCTTATGTAATGTTGCAAAAGAGGAATAATATCTTAAGGTACTAAAAAATACATATATTTATTAGAAAATTCTGATTACACAAAGAATAAAAATACAAAACAAAAATTAAACTTTATCCTCCTCTTCTCCATTAGGGGATCCTAGATTTTAAAAATTTAAAATTGACATTGTTTTGTTTTTTATCTGATGAATTCGAGAAAATGGAAGTCTCTTGCTTTCTTGTAGTCACTTTCATTTTAAAGTATCACTTTTTCGGTAAAAGATACGAATAAAATAAAAAACAAGCACACACTCATTTAATGGCATTGTATTGGCAGTTTTAACATTCCATAAATAACAACACGCAATCCACAATTAACAGCAAGTTAACGATGTTTAAAAAATGTGTGCACGCATGCGCTCGATTTATTTGGAGGGTAGCTTTTAGTAAAGCCAAAGATAAGATCTACATCAAAAGTGAATTATATTATCTACTCATGAAAATGCGTTTGCCGTAGAAATTTTTTCCTACATGTCAACCACAACAGAATTGTCTGCTTGCCAACACTGAAAGAGTAACTTAATTTTGAGTTAATACTTACATCACTATCCTGATCAGGTTCCCTAACCAATCCATTGTTCTTATTGAAATATTTTGTAGCAAATTCAGGGTCAATAATTCTCCATCTGTAACAAAACAATCCATGCAGTAGGTAATACAAATTTTTTATTAAAAAAAAACTTACTTGGGTGTCAAAATTTCTTTATACTGCAACTTCTCCACCCTCGTCGAAGCAGCCACACTGTACGGTATTACAATGTTATCTATGTCGTATGAGCTGACACGACTTCCACGTTTATAACTACCAACGGGCTGTGTCGAAAGTAAAGGTGAGGAACTTCGAGAATCTAACTTATAACTACTAGACGTATTTCCAATCTGATCTATTTCATCATTACTACTCTCAAGCGCAGATGACGGCAGATGGGGCAAACTTAATTTGTTCGAATGTCTCTTTCTTTTTAGTCTTGTAAAAGAATGTAGATTTGGTTTACGTCCCCGTAATTTACTCTTAATTTCTGAAAGAAAAATTTCATTAGTGTTCTTTGTTCTTTAATTAATCTTTGTTGATACTTACTATTCGAAAGTGCATTCATGGTACTGGATTTAATTAGTCTATTATATTTACGTCGTTGGTCAGGTAATCTCTTTGGTTGATGATCTAATGGAACATTTGGCTTTTCAGATCGATCGCCTTTTGAAATAAATTTCACGGATTTCACATTAGGCCTTGTACTTCTGTGTTGCCATTCGGAAGTTTTCATTATTGCTTCAAGATGAATTGCTGTGGATGCATCTACAAAAAAATGTGTAAGTGGCGATGTAAATTGCGGGATAATGATCACCTTCCGGTAATGAAAACACTGGATGAAATGACGGATCTAGTAATGATATTCGTTCCGATTTACTAAGGTGATCAGTAATATCTCTCGGATATGTGGGATCTGTTCGGCCAGTACACAACCCACATTGTGAACACGGTGGCACACACCCGCACCGTATGGTCGACGATCTTGCCGCTTTTCTTGAAACGACGTGCAGACCGTGGGTTTGATAGACTTTTCTCTTACGAAAACCAACCACAGGACGACACCTGGAGGATGTCGGCTCGTTTGACGAGACTGCTCCATTGACAGTTTCAAGAGATTTCACAGACAGCGGCGAGGCGCCCGGTAGTTGACCACGATAGCCGTTTACAACGGTGGGCGATAGCGATGGAGTATGCGGGGGGCTGGTGCCGCCTAATACTACGGAGCCTTTGTTCAAACGAATTTGCTTGTGCAAATCGCTGTACTGTCGAATACGATATTCCAACTCCGTAATTTGAGCGTGTAACCACTCCCATCGATACGCAATTGCCGCTCTCTCCACTGCAAACCTCCATACTGCTCTTTTTTGTCTGAAAAAAACGAAACAGAATGAGTCTATTAACATGAACAATAACAAATGTATTTACTGTAACCTCCTGTTGACCTCAGTTACAAATCAATAATTGTGAAAGTGTGTGGTGTATTTATAGAGAGGGTGTTAATTTTATTAGACTTGTTCTATACAAGTGCCTTTTAAAAATTAAGCAGCTACTATGGGAATTCAAATTATGGATAACAATAGGGGGTGTCCCAGGGCGAATGTTGTTTATTTAAATATCTCAATTAAAAGAATTCATCTAAAGTATTTTCAAATTGTTCCCACTTCTGGATTATTTTAAATACAACACTGCGTGCAACACCCTGTATTAAATTTTATAAAAAATTCTACATTAATTGTATGTATACATATGTATTCTGAACTTTAGCAAGTTTTTTTTTAATAGAAACCCGCTATTTTTATAACTGTATCTTATTAGGCATTAAAAATAAAGGTAACTTTTGAAAGTAAACTATTCCAAAAATGTTCAGTTTTTGCCTATTGCAAAAATGTAAGTCACCTAAACCGCACTTAATAACATTATTTGAACAGGAAAAATATTAAATAGCTAATATTGCAAAAATTGAAAATAGACTATACAAAGTTACCCTTATTTTTTTGCACACAGTTACAAAAAAGTAGTTCATTTTTCTTTTTCAATTCAATTTTTAATGTTAGTTTTGAATCCCCTGTATTTTTTATGATCAAGATATCAACACAGTCTACTAAAGCGAAATGGGCGATTATGATTTGGGTTCCAAACGTCGTTTTTGACATAAAAATTCAAATACATATATGGGCCATTAGTGCGTGGGTGGAATATTGTAGAATTATTAACGCACATATTTAAGAGATATGAATTTTTTAACCCTTGCATCTTCAAATTTTTAGAGACAATTCAACTCATGCATAAAAAATCGCATAAGCCGCAGTGCAATTGTTATCGCATTATCCGTTCCCATATGACTAGTTTGACGTCTGTCAATAATTGATTAGTTTGGTGAATTTCTTGTTCGTTAAATTGTCCTGCCGAATTACACTCGAGGCTTGTATTTAAACTGAGTAAATTTTTGTTGTTGCAATTCAAATCTGTTTCCTTTTAGCAATTGGACTCGAAAAACTGTCAACCTAAAAATGCTCCACCTGCGGTGTCGCATTTTTATTATTTGACAGTTTTTCTCGTCTAATTGCTAGGCAACAGATTTTCATTACCTAAACAACCCAAATTTACTCGGTAAAATACAAACCTCTTGTGCAATTATAAGTGAAAAATTGACATGTCAAAAACTATGACAGGCAGTTGGAAACTGTTGGTTTCAACAGAATGGTGCACCTGCGCACAGCGCCCTAATCACGCCTATACCTATGGGACAAATTTTCCATTTTCCAGAAAATTTGTCTCATAAGTTCTCATACGATCAGAACGCTGTGCGTGGGTGCACCATCCTGTTGAAACCGACAGTTTCCAATTTTTGTTTTCTAGTTTTCTTTACAGCATCATAGTAACTACTTAATTGCACAACTATTCCCTAATTTAACCATCGTCATATCTGGTTTCTGATAGTCCCATGATACACATCCTTATCTTGGACAGGATGTATAGTATTAAACATTAACATTTTTTACAATTTTACAACGAACTATTTTTTGTGCCAATATTTCCATGCTAATTTTTCGATAACCATTTGAATATCAGCCAAAGGTGCTCATTCAAGAATTTCTTCATGTACCGTATCACATTTCTTTTTTTAATTTTTCCCACGTAATAATTTTAGTCACATTACAGCATAATGTGTTAATTATCGTCGCACTACACCACAACATTTTTCAAATTGTGTGTAAAAACGATTGCTGTAACTACCACAATGAATGGCGTATCACTGCCAATCCTTTCGCACCCTCAACTTTCTATCAGTAAGTAGTAACTTTATTGCTGTTAGTGGTTAGTAATCAACCCAGTGAAGAGTTCATAGTTGCATTATTTTTTTGCTGTTCAACAATAAAAAAAAGGTTGTCAGTCCTGTTGGCTGTGTATTTCTTCGTTATTTTGTTCCGCATGGTCCTGAGGCTTGCAGCTGCTGTTTAAACAAGATATCAGAAAAATAAATCTGAAATAGGGTGCTGGTTAGGTGACCATAAACTTTCAGTTCACGAAAATTTGCATTTAAAGCTTTGGCCTCACCAAACCGATACTCCATCCTCGATTTATCTTGAAGTTGTCTGAACAAAATTTGAGGTGACCCGTTAAAAGCTACTTCCAGATGTCAGACAGAGATAAAAAAAAGAGAAACATAAGAAAGTTGGCGTATACGCCTAATTTCGTCATATGTGCACGCACTTTGCGGTCTTATTGATTGACGTTTTTAATCCGGCTTTTTGTGTGTACGCAAACTGTACGCTTAATAAGGGCAATATTACTAATAATCAAGTAATGAAACGTTCATTTCTATTTTGGATTTGCGCGACTCAATCCATTTTTCATGGATCTCATTGGAATTTTTACAGCATGGGTCAAACCGTCTCGAGCACTAGGCATAGAAAATATGGTCAGAAAGTGCCTTAACCAATAACACTAAACACCACACAAATCCACATGATGTAACGACAGAATTTAGGTTTAGATTTAAATTTTCAATGTTTCAAGTTGAAAAAAGGTTGTGAAGTGTCTTCCCAAACAAATTTTGGTCGCGATGATGTAAATATCTTCCAGTAATTTTCAATGAGGCGTTAAGATAGCGGCGATCGAGTGCAAATTCAATCTTTTTTAATGGAGATATAGAATTACATTTCTTAGCTCATCAGGAGATAAACGCGTACTGTGGAACTGATCGTTAGAGACGTAATTATAATCGTAATTTGGTGCAAGTGCTTACTGAGGATTTTTTTAGAATACCAAACAGTAACAAAGTTCAGTAAACATAGTTACGCACACAGATCAAAGCCTACCAAGTAAATTTCCACTTACAAACCACCACCGAAATTGAGCCCATTGTAACCAAGAAAAAAATCCCCCTTGAAGTAATATCCATTACTAGAAGAATTCAATGACTATTGCAACTACTACCAAGCCCCTAATTAGCGGTTGTGTATGAACCTCTAGATTTTCATGAAATTTTGGGAAAAATTCGTGAATTAAAAGAATTCCAATTTTAAAAAAAGCAGGCAATACTGGACGAGGGTTGTGCCGAACTCGCTTTCGGCTCACTCGGCAATTTTCGGTGAGCGTAGAGTACCAATTGCGAGATGTCCAAAGTCATTGGTGCTGCAAGGATAAGGTCCTCTGTGTACCAATCTCTATCGTGACCAAAATGCGATAGACAGATCTCTAGATTTTAATAAACGATTAAAATTTTCATCGGGTCCATCGGATAGATAGGGATACTTCATACTTTGGCATATGCCTGCCGTACTCGTCTCTCTCAGAATTTAGTCAACTGTAGTGGGGTGTGTCTTTGGTAGGAACTAACAGGGGTGCATCTCCACCACTTTGTTGCTATTGCGCTGGGCCACGACATATGCCAAATAATGTGCTGGATTTTGCGGATTGAGGAGGTTGTGGGGGAGCGGCTAACTGGGTGTTATCGGACCCGAAAGGTATATGCATACAACATTATATTGGATTATTATTGATTATTATAAACTGTAAATGCACGGAGAATTAATTTTTACCTTTGTTTTGGATATAATTTTATATTTGAAAGAACATACTTAGTTAGTAGGTCAATGTCGCTAGATAGATATAATTATATAGCAAGAGGATAAGCAAACTCTCAGGGATCCAACCAAAGACAGAGCTTTTCGGCCTCTCAACACTTTTCATTTAAAACAAAGGTGAAGTTTCCGCTTAAAAACTGTACCTATGATACTTGAGAGGGGACTGAGACTTTAAATGAAGACATAAAATTTATGGGTTCATAAACTGAGGTAATTGAATTTATAGTACAACTTATTTAATTTGAACTTTCCTAATGTCCCGACGTGCTATTTTAATGCAAACAAATTGCGAAATTGTTAACCACTGAATGACTGAACGAAGTTCCGATTGGCAATGAAAGTTAAATTACGTCAAGGTTGACACAACTTTGCGAACTCAATCAAATACGCTCCACGAACAGAAAAGCGCTACTCGTCATAATAATCAAAGCCCATTTTCCGCTTTCTGCTCAGATTACGTTTAAATGTGTTTCCTATGTCACACTATCAATTACACGCAATAATTTTCATTAGGTTCACTTGTGAATAAAGCCGTTCCTGAATAGTCGCCGAAAGTAGGTAATTATTTAATGAGTAAGTCAAACTGAAGGTCGGAGGCTGGAGCTCTCAAGAAAAGAGAAACGGTACTAAGGGAATTAAATACCTAAATGACAATGTTGTAAACAATAACAATGAGTTTCATGTGCGAGTGACGTTACATTAAACCGGAAAGTGCATAATTACGTTGTTAAAACAAAGAGAACATTAATTTCACCCACAGAAAATGAAACAATAAAACTATTTCCGATATCAAGTCGTTATGGGACAATCTTTGAATGAAAAACGCTAACAGGTTACGATTATGTCGTCATTCATACGTAGTTTTAAAACAAATTGTATAAACAAATGGGTACTCACAAAAACTCAAGGTTAATGATATGTACCAAAGGCTAAATCATCGAACAACTTTCATAGGTTCTATCTTGGTAATTGTTCAACTTCAAAAATGTTACTTATTTTCATACAACCAGCAATTTATGAATTATGGTCGAGATTAGTAACTTGATCGTAGGCGTTACTAAGCTATTTCCTCCCAACTAGGATATTTCAAAATGCTGTCCAAGTAAATTATTTTCTTTCTTCTGTACTCCTCAAAATCCCCACCTGGATTTTGGCAAACTGCGCTGCTGAACGCACGATGTGTTAATCGTTAATCCATTGTTATCAATATGACTTTCTCCAAAGCGATAATGCTAAAAACGCGAAACTTTATCGTCCATAGTAAATACGAACTGGATA